GGTATAAGCATGACTTACAGTAATTTGTAAATAACTACATGTATTCACAGCCATCAGGGACAGAAAACGGGAGCCTTATACAAAACCTGAAAACAGAAAATACATTTTTTTTATAGTAAAATTAACAATGTAAAAATATCAAGGTATAAAATATAAATATACTGTTTAAAAAAGCGTCCATTATTCCCAAAGAGACCTGGTTTATAAATCAAAAAGAGACTTTTAGTCGGATAATAATCAGATTGTATCAGTCAGATTTATTGCATTATTGACAATAAATCGCACATAGGTACTGGAGATAACTAATGTTGGCTATAGTTAAAAATGATCTTGCCTTGCTGTAAATTGTTTCCATTTTCAAAAAAAAATCGCCGATCATAAACATAACAAAATTTTCTTGCATCTAAAAAATACAGAAATAATGTATATTTACTACCTATTTTTAATATACATGGGACATACCTAGTACTGCAGAAACGTCTTCTTCTCCAGGATTTTTCATGTAATATATACCGTATGATCGAATAAAAACGGCGTCAGCGATGGCTATGAAATTAAGATCGCTATCATTTTATATGTAAAATTATATGGGAACTGTCATCGATCGTCATTTCCAAGCCAACTGGACGCCGTTTTTTTTCGATCATACGGTATTTTATATGCCTTTATTACCTTTATATTTATAAATTTCTACCGAAATATCACATTGAATTTACAAAACAAAACTAAACGGAGAGAATTAAAATGGCGTCGAAATTTGTTCTAGAACAAATCTGACGTTGTCTCTGAAACTCTGAAATCTGTCATGTTTTGACAGCAGGATGACGGGACGTCGTTGCAGCCACCCTAGTGTGGTTGCAACCATGTTGCAATGATATCCTGCCATCCGCTGGTTTTAATATACCTATAAAAATCAGTTGTTTATTTTAATAGCAAGATTACGGGAGGTTGTAGATTAAGGGTGGCTGCAACGACGCCGACATCCCATAATCCTGCGGTTAAAACATAACAATTGTTATATTTTAACAGCAGGATTACGGGATATTGTTGCAGCCACCCTTAATGTATAAGATGTTTACTAGTCGATTCCTAAGTATTTGACACAATTTAAATGCTTTTTTTCTTGTGATATTGAACCGGCCGATTTTCGGCCATTGATAAATATGATTGGTAACAATAACATACGATATTCGATTCGATTTTTATACAGGGTATTCAAGACGTTCCAACGATTATCGCCAACCAGGAAGACAGAACTTACCAAACTACATAAAGACAGAGTAAAACGGCAATTAAAATGAATAAAATGATTTATGATATTTTGTATAATATTTGTTTAATTAAGATTTACAGCGCTTTCAGATGGATCGGACCATCCGCGACTTCGAGCAAGTACCATGAGTTTATATGAACAATTTCTCATAGGTCGCTTATGCTCCGCCCGGATGATTTCGTCCGACGGCTATCTTAAAAAACACGCGGATGAACAGCGGACGCTCCTCTGCATCTGTACGCGCTGTTATCCTAGGTACTGCAATGTGAAATTTTGCTTTACCTGCTTCACCCGGCAAGTCACTAAAATAGTTACAACAGGAAAAAACACAAATCGAGAGCAATATACAAAAAATTAAAAACATATGGATTAAATGTTTGGCTAACCATTTTAGCATCATACAAGCAAAAGTAAAATTCACCTGCTATTGATGCCATACACAGAGTGTTTTAAAAATAGGCGGCCAAATTTTAAGGCGTGTCTCTCATCAAAAAATATAGAAAAATGTATCTATAATCTTAAATCCGGACAAGCTTAGTTTTAAAGAGACATGATAGTAATAATGACCTCATTTAGGCCTAATTGAGGCAAAGGGACACACCTTATCGAAAATAATTGAGAAAAAAGATGTACACCACTGGCTTTTCTTGCAATTTTTTATGAGGAATGAACCTCTGAAATTTGGCCATGCATTTTTCACACCCTTTATATGTATACTGCTTGGCTAACCATTTTAGCATCATATAAGCAAAAGTAGAATTGACCTGCTATTGATGCTATACACAGAGTGCTTTAAAAATAGGCGGCCAAATTTTAAGTAATTTTAATTTTACTTTCATATAATTCATATCAAATAAACTTTTAGTCACGTAATTAAGCTTGACCGGCACAATGTGGCCCACTATTACATATTTTCTTTTAATTAAAATATTTTAGGAAACAAAAATAAATTAATTATATAAGAATATATAAACAGTTATTATTTACATCAACAAAATTCACCTTCTTAATAGCACTTAAAGGACGGTCCACACTTGCTATATAACAATGCTATATAGCAAAGTTATATAACATGTTACATATTTTTTTGTTATATGTAGCAAATTTCGATGCTATATAACTTGTTACATGTTATCCATTTGTAGTCGGTAAAGATCAAAAGATGTTATGCGACACTGCTATTGTAACATGTTACAATGCGTCCAGAGCTAAATTTCTAGTTTAGCCGCTCATATTTTCAGAGACGTGCGCGACAGAATTTTAGTGTGGTGAGCCGATTGGGTTGTTTATTTACTGGTCAATAATATTTATTATTAATTATTATTATTAATGAAGTGGACCAAAGAGCAGACTTATCGATTCAACTTATTGACTTGTATAGAGATAATACAGTATTATGGGACATCCGCAGCCCCTCATTTAAAATCAAACAAAAAAAAGCACGATGCATGGGTAAAAATTTCAAAAATTATGAATTTGGAAAGAGAAGAAGTCGAAAAAAATGCGTTGTTTAATAGGCCAGTTCCAGAGGGAACAAAAAAAATGCAAATCTGGAGCTGGTTTAGATGAAGTGTACAACTCAAAATGGTTTGCGTTTAAATTATTAACATTTTTAAAGGACAAAAACACGCCATGGGAAACAGACTCATTTATTTTTTGTTCATCATACAGGGTCCGGCAAAAGTGCGTCGGACATCTGTAGCTCCTATAAATAAAATTTTTAAAATACTTTAAATACAAAAAATGCCACTTTTTAGATCTCCATCTAACAAAAAAATAATATACAGGATGTTTCATTAAAAAAAGAAAAACAATTTTATATTTTAGAAAGTTTGGCATAGGTTTTTGGACACCCTGTAGGGTTTAAGATTACAATATTTATAACAAAGTAAGTACAGCTATAATAAATACCTAGTATAGTTTTGATAGCATAATTCATTTGTCATTGGTAATTTCTTGTATTTATAATAACTTTTTTAAAAAAGGCTGAAAAAGCATTTTTTTGACTTATTTATTAATCTCTGAAACTCTCGTTATGCTAGCCGTTCTACAACAGGTACTGCATCCCTAAATCGTGTGTCAGATTTTTGAATCTTTGGACCAATTAGATTTATCAGGTGCTCAAAGTCAGAACTACTCATCCTACAAAAATTTTTGAAACTCCCCTTGTATTCTAATCCCCAATTCAGAGGCGCGCAATCATCCTTTTTTAGATCTTCTAATAGATGAGTTCCACTATATCTAGACCTTGCTTGTAGGCTATGGCGAACCCAAAACCGCCTTTTTCTCGACTTTCTTTCACTTTCTTCAAAAATAATTACGCACGCCGCTGCTGCGAGCAGAGCATCTTTCTCGCCAAAACAATTCATGATTACTAAAACTATAATGTGGACGTCGCCAGGTTTTTTAACATGTTACATGTAGCTTGTTATATAGCAATGTTATATAACATGTTACTAAATGTGGACCCTCCTTAAGATACATAAAGGGCCATTACTAACGCTTTCTCGTTCAAAATATTCTAATAAAGTTGTGATTGTTTTGATACACTTCGCACTAAAAGAAGTTTTAAAAAGAACAATGTTCAACTGCAAGGTCTGCTATTAAAGAGTTTTAAGCTTGAAGTATCACAACACAATTTATTTAAACCAAAAACTCGTAACACAAAACTAAAGTGGCAAAACGAATGACAATGTCACGAAATAAATAAATAAATGTAGCAACTTGACATTTTTTATAGCAGAGCTACGACCTGAATCACCAGCGAAAAATTTAAATTCCAGTTAAGGTTGTCGCCCAGTAGACCGCTGCGCGGCGCGGCGCTGGGAAGAGAATTTTTTCCGGCTGCGAAGGAACTGCGCCCACTATAGCGCGCTTGTGAAACGCAGCAACGCTATTTAGTTATAGTCGAAGTGTTTTTTACATGGCGCCGCGCCGCGTCGCGCTGCGGTCTAGTGGGCGACAACCTTAAGTTAGGCTTATATATATAAAAATTGGAGATTGTCACTTTTGTTAAAAAGTGGAGATTGCCGGTTTTGCCTCTACACCCCTCAATTATATTAAATCTTTGATAGAACGGCATTTCGTCCATCTGTCTCTAGTGAGGGAAGACTTAAAAAAATATCATATTCCTTTATGAAAATCGATTTGCCTAATTTACTTTTAAAAATACAATTCTACCATTGACACGTACCACTAGTTCCTAGTCAAAAAGCCAACTGAAAAGACTCGAATGCAAAATTATTTCCCTTGTGAGTACGCACACTACAACGCGCCAAAACGCGGGAGACGGAAAAAAGTTGCTAGAGAAGTCTTCCGACTTCTTGACGGAAATCCCGCGGCGCGCTTCTGCGCAGCGCGATCTAATGTGCGTTGATCCATTTAAATACATGGCAAGCAGACAAAAGAAATTTCCACATGGCGCCGCGCCGCGTCGCGCTGCGGTCTAGTGGGCGACAACCTTAGTCAGCCCGGCCGCGGCGCAGAATATATCCATGATTGGCAACAATGAATTTAAAAATTGCGTCCTCAATTACGTAACTAAAAGTTTAATTGGTCTCAAATATAGTTATCGAAACGTGCATACAATTTCCGAAATTAAGAATTTTGATTGATTTTGTATTAGTTTTGTTTGTTTTTACTTTTGATTATTGTTTTTTTATCAATATCGCCATGGTTTTTCCGCTTTTTATTAATATCTGTAATTTTTTGACTAATATATTTTAAGGATATAAAGATACCCCAATTTGTGGATATCTTAACAAGAATTGTATAGCAGAAGCAGCAGAACTTTTTGAAATGCGCCATTTGCGAGGTCAGTTTGAAAAAAGGACAATAGTCAAATTCCTACCCAGAAGAAAGTCATCCAGAAAAGCAGAACGTCAGAAAAACATAACAGTAAGTAACTTTGATAGTAGTATTTTAATTTGAAAACATTAGATGCCCTTTAAATTGTCAAATAACACAATACACCACATTACTTTGAACTTTGAACGCTCGCCTCGTTAACCATTTTAAATTAAAAAAATGTCCTATATTTTAGGAAAACCCTCTTGATAATGCAGTGCGTTGTGACTGCCTGCCTCTTTGTACAGATTTGTCGTATGACGTTGAGACAACAGCTACGCCTTGGGACTGGAGGAACACAATGTCTATTTTATCGCATAATAGCTTCATGCAACCTTTTTTTGAGAAGTAGGTGGTAATGTCTAAGAACAAAATTTGAAAATAAATCCTTAAACTGGGTCAGCAACACACTATTAACCGAAATGTTCCATTAAGAGATCTGATAGAGCTCCAAATCTAATCGAAAAAGTCAAAAGCTGCCATCATGTTCACCAAGAATTATTAAAATCTTATGAATATGTATACCGGGTACGCTTTAAAAGTGGCTAATCTCTATAACTTTTTTATTTATTCAGATAAATAAACGAGATTTGGTATGTTAGTATGTCATAAAAAACTTTTGATTTTTCCCTCGCTATATTTCTACTTTATCCACGACTCGTCTATAATTTGATTATTATATATGAGTTTATTTAATAATAATAATATTCATTATTCACTAGTGAATAATGGTTTCATTATTCACCGCTTCCACGGATATCTCGACCAAACCGGCTTGGAATAAATAATTTTTGTTTTAATTAGTTAAAGCCAAATTAGTTAGCTACCTAGTTAAAGAAAATTTCAATGAATTCAATGTTTTCTTTCCATGTTACTTACTCGTTATACTCGTTCAATATTTTTTTTTACATTAAAAATAAAAACTTATATTAATATTATCTAAATTTTTTTGATAGTCCTGGATAAAGTATAGTATTCTACTCGCATATAATGGCTGTTATTCACATGGATGATTTATGACACTCGCATGCCATACAACCTAACCATTATATGCTCGTTGAATAAAACACTATTATTCGATAGAAAATGACAATCTGAATAGAATGACATATCATATGTCAATTTTTGATAATTTCGTATATGGTTTATTTAAAATTGTAACATGCGGTTCATAACGACAATTTGACTCGAATTACTAAGTGTATGGTACCAAATTATTCGTAAAAAATGTTTTTTCCAAATATGCTAATGAGCCAACCTTGTTCCATTTGAAAAAATTGAGATATGATTAAAAATACGATTTGGGCATCTTTTAACAGGCCAGTACAAGACACGAAAAATATTAGACGATCAAATCTATTTTTCCAAGGCTCCTTGATTAAAAATTAGTGTTTTTGACACAGCCATGGCACTCTAAATTGAAATTTAAAATACAATTCTTTTTTAAGCAAAAATGTCAAAAGTTGACAATTTATATGTCATTCCATCAGAGTGTCATTTTCTATCAAATAAAGTAAAAAAAATCACGGAGGGTAGGTATTTTAAAATCAAAAGTTGTAGTAATTTCCGGTGAAACACGAAGTGTCCAAAAACAATTGAATACGGCAATCAATCCTAATTTATGTCATATACTAACATACAAAATCTTGTTTTTTTATCAGAAAAAATAAAAAAGTTATAGAGGTGAGCCACTTTTGAGACGCACCCGGTAGAATATCCTCTTTTTTGTCATTCAGTGATATTAATTTGATCTCATTTATCTTGTAACCTCTTAAAAGAGAGCTTATATTATGAATTTTTGTTAAAGTAGTATATATTTCTTTCAGTCCCAACATATCTCTATCTCGTCTAACACTCTACTTCAAGAACAGCCAATTTATAACTTCCAAGAGACACGAACTGTATGGACCTACAGACTTTCTAGGCAACTTCGGTGGACTCTTAGGACTGTTTACTGGATTTTCTGTTTTGTCCTTAATGGAGATCATCTACTTCTTAACACTGCGTATTTATTATAACATTAAATTATATAAAGTATGGTCGGGACGCAAAGAAGAAAAGTAATGTAACATCGAAATCATTTGAGACACTAAATGCGATAATAACTTATACCTATGGCTTATTCGAGTTATTTACATATTTTGTTGCGGCAAAAAATATGAATCACAAAACTTGAATCTAAGAAATTGAAAATAGTAGACTGTAGACATGAATTTGTAATACCGGACCACAAAAATTTGTTTAACGCAACTATGTGTAAGAAGTGGACTTGTGGACAAAAATGTTCGGAAGTTTTTTAATTTAATGTATAGATCATTGTATGTATTCGTATACAGTATGATCAAACATTTTTATGATCAAGCAAGTTTTGAATTTACTTTTCCTACAGTTGAGGCTTGGAACCTTTGGTGTTAAACAACAGTAAAATAAAACACTAATTTACCACAATACACCAAAACACTTTACTTTTGCACTGGACGCGCGTTTTGCTAACTATATTATGATCATCAGCAGATAATAAAACTCTGTTTTGGTTGTAATCATCTGCTGATGATGCTAACATAATCAGCAAAACGTGCATCCAGTGCAAAACTGAAGTGTTTTGGTGTATTGTGGTAAATTAGTGTTTTATATTGATAATTTTCTTATTTTATTTTATTAGAAAAATTGTTTACCTTGCATCATATAAAGCACGCTTTATCATTAAACTTTTTCATTATATTGTACTATATTGTACTATATTATACTATACAAGGTGAGTCTTAAATAAGTGCAAATATTTTTAGGGGTGGTATATTTCGACCCCAGAAACACGTCTATGATTTTTTTTCACGAAAAAAAAATTAAAATGTTTTAAAAAAATTAATGGAAATTATTTTTTAAAATTTTTAGTTAAAAACATAATAACTTTATAATATGGCAACATAGGTAGTAAATTAAATTTACAAGAAAGAAAACGCAGGAAAGATCCAGAGGGGGGATTAAAAACTTTATGACTAATCCATTCAGGAAAATAATATACAGGGTCCGGCAATAGTGCGTCGGGTATCTGTAGCTCCTAGAATAAAAAACTTGAGAATTTTGTTTAAGTGCAAACCTAAAGTATGTACCAGGACGTATTTCAGGAAAATATGTAACTTCTATAGGGTGGCTCAAAAAAGTGTGAGTGGACCTGGATGATTTTTTTTAAATAGAACACCCTGTACATTATTGCATTTTTGGATTTCTTTCAGATCACTTTACATAACCCTAAGATATGAATAAATATATTTCGATGGTTTCAGAGATATTAAAAAATAAATCAAAAATATGTATTTTTCAGCCCTTCTTAAAAAAATTATTAAAAATACAAGAACTGTTCTGAAATCAAAACTATATTAAGTATTTACTTTAGATGGTCTGTACTTACTTTGCTATAAATATGAAAATCGTAAATCATACAGGAAGTTCAAAATTCTACGCCAAACTTTCTAAAATATAAAATAATTTTTCTTCGTTTTTTTTTAAATGGAACACTCTGTATATTATTTTTTCAATAGAGGGAGAATTAAAAAATGAACATTTTTTGTATTTAAAGTCAAAATTTTTAACGGTTTCGCAGATATTTGCAGTTTTATATTTCATATGGCATTTTCCACAGTAAATTTTTATCAAAGCCACCCAATGATTTTTCTCTCGTATTTTACCATTGAAAGCGCCATATGAAATAATACTGCGTGTATCTGCGAAACCGTTAAAAAATTTGAAATACTCTAAATACAAAAAATGTTCATTTTTGAATTCTCCATCTAATAACAAAATAATATACAGGGTGTTTCATTTAAAAAAAAAACAAAGTAAAATATTTTATATTTTAGAAAGTTTGGCGTACAATATTGAATATTCTGTATGTTTTATGATTACCATATTTATAGCAAAGTAAGAACAGACCATCTAAAGTAAATACCTATATAGTTTTGATTTCAGAACAGCGTTCTTGCATTTTTAATATTTTTTTAAGAAGGGCTTAAAAATATATATTTTTGATTTATTTTTTAATATCTCTGAAACTAATCGAAATATATTTATTCATATCTTAGGGTTATGTAAAGTGATCTAAAAGGAATCCAAAAATGCAATAATATACAGGGTGTTCCATTTAAAATAAATCATCCAGGTTCACTCACACTTTTTGAGCCATCCTATAGGAGTTAAAATATTTTCCTGAAATACATCCTGGTACCTACTTTAGGCACGGCATATAAATCACACGGCAGGCCGACTCGCTTTGGCGGAACGCTACGCGCATATCCTTGCGCACGCCGCCATTATGGGTGCCAGCAACAGAAATTAACCAGTGTCGTAGTCAGTCGTAGTTTTTGTCATCGACAACATACAGTTACGGCAGCTTTGAGTCTGTAGCGTGCGGCTTAATTTATTTCATTCTTTTCTTGAGTGATATATTTTGTATTTTTAGTTTTATTTTTTTTATTGTGTGATATATTTGGTTTTTGTAGTTTTATTTTCGTTTCTTGTGTGTTCTATTTTGTTTTTGTAGTTTTATTTTTGTTTTTCTGAACATTTTTAATATAATAGTGGTTTGGTAGTGTATTACCATAACAACATTAGACACCCGAGCTGGTTTAAACTCTCTGTTCTCCTTCTCCTGGTCCTCAAAACCCACAATATTATCACGATCACTATTATAAAATAAGTTGAACTTGATATTCATATCGATTACGATTAAGTAATACATAGAACACAATATCGATTAAGTTCATTCGGTTCATCGAAACTTTCAACTTTGCTTTTTAGAGTCTCAAATACACTAAAATTTTCTAAGCCAGGTTTGATATCGATGTCATATATTCATTTTCTTAGTGTCTCTGGGTCTTTGGACGTGGAAGGCAAAATAAATTTGTCAAGAGCTTCTTGTATATTTTTGGGCGGGAAAAGTATATCGCCAGACATTTATATTTAAATTCATCAGTTTCCTCCTTTAGCTGATTTGTTAATTAGCAAAATTTGAATATTAACAAAATTTGCTATAAGATGAAAAACGGCAATGAGAAAGTATGTTTCTTTTATCGAGATCTATATCAGCCCTGAAAATATTTTCATTTTTAAGATTCACCCTGTATACTAGAGTGGGCGCATTTTAAGGAGTTAGCAGTGGCGTGCATTACATATAGGCAAAAAAGCATTGCCTACCCTTCAATTTATTCAAGACAGACGCAAAATAAAAATATATTTATCTGATCAATTTTCATTATATATCTACCTACAAATCCTACAATGCGACCTACATTGTTTTATTTTTCTAAATAGTAAGTTAGTATTGTGTATTACGGTTGCAAAGCCGGAAACATCATACAAAACAAACGCCACCTGTTCAACGTCTTATTATTACCTAAAAAACGCATCCCATTATTCGAAATCGACCGCACGGCCGCAACTTAACATTACATGGATATGGACAAGCAAAAGCAGTGCGTTACCGCAGCACGGATGCACCCGATGTCTCGATCCCGCCGATGAGGTATTGCCAGTTCCGATGTTATTACAGAACTATGTAAGAAACAGTCCATGTTATTTTATATGATCAATTTTAAATAACTGTGTTTTAGAAAAATTTGTATATTGCTATTTATGTAGCAAATTAGAAATTTGCTTGTCTGTCATCTGGATTTGTCTCCAAATGATTTCATTTATTATTTTATTTGACTGTAAAATCATTTTGGTACATAAAATCTATTAGGCAGTGGCAATTGGCAATCTGGCAATATTGTGTACGGTTATTGTTTTAGCTAATTCGCCAGTCGTTGAGTCGCCTATCGGGAAGAAATAATGATTGAATAATAGACAGATTATTCGTTTTGTATCTACAAATAATTAAATTTATTTGCTGTTATTTGAATTTTCTTTTGTTTGGGTTTAAAGTTAAAATACGTTAGACAGTAAATTTTATATACGTACATTGTACATATATATATATATTATGAAATACATACGTTTTTTTATTTATTTTTTCATATTTTTGATTCTGTTACCTACCCTACTGTAAATGGTACTGCACGCCACTGGGAGTTAGGAGCGTCATCAGTGACGCAACTTTATAGTTAAATTAGTTTTTTCGTTTTATTTTAGTATTACAAACCATAATTAAAGAAATCACATATTTACCTACTTGCAGAAATTGCTAAAGAACATTTTCATTTTGTTTTTATAGTAGAGTTAATACTTTTAATCCTACGTAGTGCTTTAAATACTCAGTTCATCCGTAAGCTGTTATTTAAAAATGCTGATTTTGAATCATAAAAAATACAAAATGCGTATCATACACCGCTGTGTTACGATTGTTAAGTTACTGTAGCTTCCTAAAATCATGGTTAAACATTAAATAATACCGAAACTTATTGTATTTTAATAGAGTACAATAGTACATACATAAGTATGCAGTGTAATTGCTAATTAGTACATAATACTTTTTATAAATAAAAATATATTGATCAAATATATTTCTATTTTAATGAATAGTGTTTTATTTATATTTTTAGAATTAATATCTTTTATTGCAAAATTCAATATTAATTTATACAGAAAAAAAGACATTACATTTATACTAGCGTTAGTACTACCAGTAATACTGAAAGTTACACAGAGGGATAATAATATGAATTGAAGAAAACAGATATGTTTAATAAAATATCCACAAACTGGTTTTTAAAAATGCTGAATCACATAAATTACAAATTGTATATCATATATCGCTATATTATGATAGGGAATTTAGTATAACTTGCTAAAATGTAAGATTAAAATGTTTAATATTTTTTTATAAAAAAATAATCATTGATTATTTTTAATGTTAGGAATATCATTATAATTATTTTTAATTAATATTTTCTATTGTGAGCTCCCAATAAAATGGTTTTAAATGCACTTTTCTACACTCAGAGCTGCAACAAGTCAGATTCAGGAAGGCTTAAATCTTAAGACTTAGTTATTTTTAAAACCAAAATGATTTTAATTTATTGCTCGAATTGAAAGTGTGATTATTGTAAGGAAAAAATCGAAAAAGTAGATAGTAATAAAAAATGTCCATACCTCTGTGGCGGATTTATCTCTCTAAAAAAGTCCTATATGTATTTCACCACTGTAAGAAAATCTACAAAATAAAATAGTTATTTTTTGTAAACACTGCTGCGTTAATCCAACGGTGTCAGCAGTGGCTTACATTAGTCCTTTCCGAAACGTTAAGTATTTTTTTGTCTTTATTTATTTTTGCTTACACAACGTTCGGTCAGAAGTATCACTGACCGTTATCAAGTGTGAACTAAACTAAATTAGTAGATGCACTCTTTCTCCTGGTTTGATGATTCAGGTTTTGCTTTTGTTAGGACACTTCTTAGAGTAGTCCAAGACTTAAAAACAGTTTTAATTTTATATTGCTTAGCTATTCGCCTGATCTTCTCCGATGTTCCTTTCACATATGGAATCGTCAAGAGAGAGAGAGAGCATCCTCCTCAGGCTGGCGCACCAATGAGTCGGACCTGCAATTGGATATAATATTGTCTATGGATTTTTAATACTGAATCATTGTCTACCACATTCAAAGTAATGTAAATGTAACTATTCGAGAACACTTTAGTTTTTCTTAAACAGACACGTCTATAAAAACTATTGACGTTCTGTTAAAATGACTTGTATCAAATTAAACTTAACTATTACTTAATAAGGTAAAACCAAAAAGCTTCAAACTTTCTGTATTATTATTTTTAATTTGTTTTTAATTTTTACGTATTTTATGTTTATTTATGTTATGTTCTTTAAAATTAAAGAAGACATTGCCATACATTACTAACATCTACAGACGCATGAGCAATACATTTATTTTTATTAGATTGAATTAAAAAAGCCTCTTTTATTTTTCTTTTATAGGCTATCGCCCTCGCTATCTCTTGTTTCATTATAATTTTAATAAAAAAAATAATTTTTAGTTTGGTTATTATCACTATAATCGATAATAGTCTTGAGTTTAAATATTTTTTTGTCACGATATAAATGCAAACATTTGATAAAAAAATCGAACATATAAATAAAGTAGCATTTTCTTCTTTGTTCTTTCTGTCTCTTATAAGTAACGACATTCAAAAGAAAAAAAATTATATTAGTTTATTGAAATATTCATCTTATGTAAGCCTTACAAATTTTATTTTGTTTTATGGATTGCTTATCTGTTTTAGGATTAATATTAGTTAATAGTTGATAGTTGATGCTTCTGACCAAAACGTTGTGAAAAATTTATATATTTAATTAGTATTTATAATATAAATAGTTTTTCCAATTCAAGTTCTATTATTAAAGGTTTCAAAATTACAACCGACGCGACGTCTCCTATTATTGGGCCACCCCGTATACCTGCGTTATGTTTATAAATATAAAAATTTAGATATTATCACGTTCATAAAAATACAATTTGTATCAGGTCGACCTCAATATTACAGGGTGGGGTCCATTTCATTACTGAATGAAGAACTTCAAATTATAACGTTACTCCAAAAATTTTAATATCCTAATTGAACAACAAAAACTAGGATAAACCTATATCTATAGCTCTATATCCCTTCGTATTACGGGAAGATAAGTATCACACCCATGTCACTTACTATAATTGTTTTGAGACACCTCTAATTAAGGGAATGTGTTTATTCCTAGAGGAAATAAGTCACTACAAATGCTTCTCGAACTTTAATCCAGTCGACTTTCTTTTTTATAAACCATTTGATCAAAAATTCTTTAGCAGAAACATTCAGTTATTAGTAACTTTTATTGATAAGTTTTTGTCTGAAGCATGGCAAAGTCTGAACAATATCCAACAAGTGACCAAGAGCAACCGATTGTTTGCAAAAGCATAAGAAATTATTTTAGGGAATACTGCCAATGTAGTAGTATTCATGGATTTAGGTATTTTGGAGAAAAAAGAACACGCTTTGAAAGGTAAAAACACAATAAAACTACTAGGTATTCTAAAAGTTTTATGTGTCATATTATAATTTATTTATCCCTCCGTTTTTTTTTATCTAATGACTTTTCAAGTGGAATTTATTTCTTGTTTCTTGTTTGGTAATTATAAGGTTTTTAATTGTATGTAAAATCACAAAAAATCTAATCTCAAAGCTTGTAATACATTTTTTATTAACTTATTTAGTTCATATTAATAATTATGTTCTTCTTATAAACTATTTTTTTTAATAGTTTGTTTTGTTATGTCTGTTAATTAATTAATTGCAACATAAGACTGTGATATTTTTTGTATAACAGCAACAGGTTAATTATTTTTATGTAATTTATCTTAGCAAAATATATATACATTCCAAATTTCATTTAAATGGGAATATTGGTTCTTAAAATATCTTGAAAAATTTGTTTATTTCTTAAAGTTTGTCCATCAAAAAAAACGAAGCACTTTTGTAAAGGAGTAAATTTTGCCCAATACATAGTAGTTCTATTTCCTCGAAATATTGGGCCACCCTGAATAGGAACTTTTTGTTTTATTTTTACTGTAGAATCACCAACTAAAGTTTGGTACACTATTTTTTGACACTCTGAATAATAATCATATCTATTTATATGCACAAATTGTTATTTTATTCATCTGTAAAATATAAATGTTACTTTACCAGCTTAACAATTAAAACTCAGTGAATTCTTGTAGAGTCTGGTGGTTTATTGTGTTTAGTTTCGTCTTGGCCATTTGCATATTTCAAATTAAAGAGGTTTACCACAAATGGGAGAGGACTCCAGTTATAGTTAGTTTTGCCACGAGCGAAACACCCATTTATAGTATTCCGTTTCCGGCAGTCACCATTTGTCCAGAATCAAAGAGCAGACTTTCTGTGTATAATCACACAGACATTGCCATTAAACTGCAAAACCAGATAGATTTGAATGCAACTGAGTAAGTTTTATATATTGTAATGTATGTATTATTATTTAGAACATGAACATTATTAAAATTCGTAGTCTTTTTTTTTGTTTTATATTCTACTTATCTGTCCTAAAGGTCTATGTTCAGCTATACAGGGTGATTCACTATCGATTGTATGTTATCCATTTATAGAGAACCGGATTTTCACTTTTCTGTAGCAATCTCTAAAAGTTTTTGAGATAATAGATAATAAAACAGGTCTTAAGTAAACAGTACTAAAATGAATTCAGTATACTGAAAATTGAAATTTGGACTATAAGTTAAGGAAAGTCAATATATTCGATCTGTATAAGGATACGATACAAGGTGGTAAAAAAACATATTTATCTCTGATACTTACAACATTGTTCAAATCTTCGTTATTTTAAATTGTACTTTATACCGATGTCATCAATACTGTGTTGTCTGGATTTTAACCTATATGTAAAAAAATTTAACATGTATGTAATGTAAAATCAAATAATATAAAAAAAATCAATAAAAAGAGATAAAAAAATGCCGGATTTTGCATCAGAATTTTAAACCGCTTGTACGAAAAATGTTGCATCTGGGGTTGGAAATTTTTCACAATTAGTTATTCATTTTAGTATATATATATTATACAGGGTGGCGCCTACCATACGCCACGGAAGCTCCAAGGAGAACGGTAGTTTATATCGAAGTGAAATTTTGGCAGCATATGTAGGTTAACTGAAAGCATTTTAAAAAATATATAGAATTATACAGGGTGTCCCCAAAAAAAGTTACACATCAAAGTTGTGTTTTTTCTAATGGAACACCCTATATATTAATTGATTTTTAGATTCTATGAAAAAAATAAAGGTGAGTTTATTAAACAAGTATATACCTAAAATCTAAGGATTTTGACATATTTAACTTTTTGTGAAAATGAAGAGTAAATTTTAAATTTCGATAACAGCTACCTAAATTTTAGTTGACCTTGTATACGCCCCTATAACTTTCCTATTTTTTCTGTCAAAAGAAGACGAGATTTGGTATCAAATCAAATCAAAATCAAATCATTTATTGAATGTTAATAGATACAAGTATCCTTACACAAAGTCATATTTTGTAAAATGCAAAATTATAAAATAAACAATATAAACAAATATATATATATAAACAAAACAAATAATTATCAAACAGTAATTTAAAATACACAAAAATCAATAAATAACAAAAAAAAACATGAAAAAAAAATACATAAAACATGAAACACAAATACACAATGTAAATGTTTTGACCTATAACCACGCTATAACCCTTCACTGCTTTCTAAAACATCAGTAACACTAAAATAAGTCATATGAAGGTAGCTTTTAATTGTCGTTTTAAATTGATGTCTTGTAAATTTCTGACATTTTGAGATAATTTATTAAAGCATGCAGGAGCATAATGAAGGCTGGAGTTCCAAGATCTTCCGAGGCGCAAATGAACAGGCTTTATATTCATTCTGTTTCTGGTTGCATAATTGTGTTGTTCATCATGCGTAGTATATAGTTCTAGGTTATCCTTCACAAATAAAAGACACTGGAGGATATAGCAATATGGAAGTGTCAGTATTCCCATTTTTTTGTAGGCGTTTTTTGTATCTGCTTGATAACTTAAATTTGACATAATTCTCAATGCTTTTCTTTGCAGTCCAAACAGTCTGTCAGCATGAGCTGAGTAACCCCAAACAAGTATTCCATAAGTAAGCACCGAGTGAATGAGAGCATGATAAGCAGCTACTAACACATCCCTCTACACACACTTAGCCAATCGCCGAAATGCATACCTGCTTATGGAAACCTTCCCTGCCACATAGACTACGTGACTTTCAAAAATCAGTTTTGTGTCAAATTTTATTCACAGAAATCGGACACTGCAGAAATCTATTTTATATTTTGTTTTAAGAGAAAAAATAACTCTTTCTGTTTTAGTGTCATTCAGGCATAATCGGTTTGCCTGAAACCAGTCACAAACATTTAGCAAAATCGATTCAAAATCAGTTTGAATTTCTTCAGGGGATTTCCGAGCACATAAGATAGTAGTGTCATCGGCAAACAAAATCATATTTTATGTTAGTGTATGACATAAATTAGGATTAATTGAGGTATTCAATTGTTTTTGGTCACTTCCTGTTTGACCGGTAATGACTACAACTTTTGATATATTTCTAGTTTATTGGATAGAAAATAACATCTGAATAGAATGACATATCATATGTCAACTTTTGATATTTCCACATATGTATGGTTTATTTGAAATTATTGTAAAATGCGGTTCATAACGAAAATTTGACTCGAAATACCATGTGTGTGGTACCAAACTATTCGTAAAAAATGCTGTTTCTAAATATGCTAATAAGCCACCCTAGTTCCATTTGAAAAAATTGAGATATGATTAAAAATAACCTAACCTAACATAAAGATGATTCTGCCCCACATTATTGGCCCTAAAATAAGAAAAAACGGAAAACCGAGAAATATGTCGGTTATAAAACCGTTAATCTTTTTTTAGTATTTTTAAGTAACTTAATTAATATTTACATAATTATTTTTGATTTTTAAGGCAACGAAACGCCCTCTACATGAGCTTACTTTGTGACGTAGATCGCAGTACGCTGTACAAACTAAATAAAATAGGCCAGAATGTATATACAGATGATTTTTTAACGTTTATGAATAAAGTATGTATAAAAATAAATATAATATTTCATATTGACGATATACAATTAACAGACACGCAACAGTCATTTTTTTAAAACTTGCAAATGGATGAACGAAGAAGTAAAATGTGAAGAACTGTTTACACCTACTATTACGGACGAAGGAATATGCTACAGTTTTAATATGCTGGATAGGGAAGATATATTTAATGATGAAGTGTAAGTATTTGTAATCATAGAAAATATAAGTTTTGAAATAATAATAAAATTAAATCCAAAATGTTATTCCTACCCTTAATGTGGTGTTGAGTTTATTTGATCACACGATATTCATTTCTAGTATTTAACTGAAATTATACAAGAAATCTCAGTGTATAATAAGTGTTCAGTTGTTCTGTCCACTTAACAATAATTATTTAAAGACTTCAGCGGGAAAAAGAACAATTTGATAGAGATGCTGATATATTTATAATATTAAGTTTTTACATAATTTTATCCAAAAGAAAAAAATATCGATTTAAAAACAGCACAATGCTTTATATTTTTTGAATCCTCCCAACTGTGCCAAAATTTAGTTCAATAAATTCTCCTGTATCGTTTAAAGCAATAGTTACATTAAAATAAATAAATAAAATAAATAATAAATAAATGCCTTTATTATCAAAAAAATTTACAATTTGTAGACAAAGGTAAAGTAAACAAACGAAGTAAACAAACAAGGTACACAAACAAACAAACAAAAGATTATAGAAATAATATTGTCAGTCTTATTGTTTAAAATAAACATTTATAAATGGTAACAATGTCAAAGAATAAAAAAAAAATAAAAATAATATTCAAAAATATTTAGTTAGTTTATAGTAAATATCAATGACCTCTAAATAAATTTATTTCGGTGTCATTGGTAAATATAGCAATAGCAAACATTAGATCAGTGTTTACAAGATCAAATTCGATTATCAAAATATAATTGATTTACGGCGTAGTGAGCCTTGTCTAGTAAATAAGAGTTCAATGCTTTGCCAAATGAAGAAAATGATGTTATGGATTTGATTTCAAATGGCAGGTGATTGTGCATTTTTTTCGAGTTGTATAATATTGAAGTTTTAACTAACTCTGAGCGTGGGGTAGGTAGATAAAGATCTTGCTCCGCGTTCCTGAGTGGATAAGTGTGAGATGGCCTTTCTTGAGAAGCTGATACATGCTTACGTATTAGGCAAACGGATTCAAATATAAATAAGGAAGGAAGAGTTAATATTTTTAATTTTTTAAAGAATATCGAACAGCTCTCTTCTGGAGCTTGAAAATGCGGTCAAATTGAGTCGCACAACACGTACCCCAGAATGGAAGGGCATACCTGAGGTGCGACTCAAAATGTGCATAATAAACAGTTCTAGCCACTGACAAGTTAAGCTCTTTAGAAACAGATCTTAATGCAAAACAGGCAGAGCTCAATTTTTTCGACAAAGCTTCGATATGAATGTCCCATTTCAGAGAATTGTCTACAACAAGTCCTAAGAATTTTACAGATTTTACGACATCAATGGTGGTGTTGTTAAGTACAAAAGGCTGCAGCGAATTTTTAAACGACAAAGCTTTAGTTTTAGAAATGTTGAGACTCAGGAGGTTCGAATCGCACCAATATTTAATGGTGACATATTGCTCACAAGTTGATTTCTGTTGCTCAGATACGACTTAAACCATTCGAGAGATGTTCCCCTGAACCCATAGTGCTGTAGTTTATTAATTAGGATCTTATGATTTACACAGTCGAACGCCTTAGAAAAATCACAGAAAACTGTTGCTGTAGAATGATGGTTATTTAGGCTGGAGTAAACTTTATTAAGGAGGGAAAATATAGCGTCATTTGTGGACTTGTTGCTTAGAAATCCAAATTGATGTTCAGTAAGTATTTTGTACTTAAACAGAAAAGATACCAGCCTTCCTTTAACCAACCTATGATCTTAGATAGCGTTGGAAGGAGTGCAATTGGGCGATAGTTAGAAGCTTCATCTTTGTCTCCTCCTTTATGCAGAGGAATGATTATTGCCGTCTTAAGACATTTTCGAAAAATACCATTTTGGAATGACATGTTTATTAAAGCAGTTAGGTGATTCAGAGTGCTTTCTGGCAGATTCGAAAACATTTTTAAAGTTAGCCCGTCGGTCCCAGATGAGGATTTATGTTTGATGGTATTAATTGTACTGCGAAGCTCTTCTAAAACTACGGGCGAAAAAAAGAAACTGTGGAAGTTTACATTATCATTAGAGAGATATGAAAGTGGATCATGAGAAGGACATATGGTATTAGTTTTTCGCTACATTTACAAAGTAATCGTTAAGGTTCTCAGGTGAGGTAGAGATATTGCTAGACGAAGAAGCTTTGTTTCTCAAATCATTCACAATAGACCACGTTTCTTTAGCAACATTACCAGAATTGACTATTATTCTATTATAATAAAGGTCCTTAGCGGCTCTTAGAGTCTTATGATAAATTTTTCTTTATAGTTTTACGTAATTGTGGAAGAAGACACTGTCTGTGAATTTTTTTAAGTGATATGCATATAATATTACATGTTATTACAAACTCCAGTAATAACGTCTTAATCAAAGAGATCATTAAATGTCTTATGTACCTATTGTTTACGTACAATTATATAAAAAAACAAAAAGCCTATGAGTCCTGCCTTGTCAAACTCAGTTTATACCCAAAATATAACTTTTGTTTCTACGTCATTAGCTTAACTGCAGTTCCAATTTCTTTTTAACTTTTCATTGACATGACGGTTTAATATATTAATATTGTTAATTTGTATGATTTATTACAGAATACTTACTGACAAAAACTATAGTATGCATTAACAATTGTTTATACAAGTTAAAATAAATATTAATATAGGTATATTATGTTATCTTTGAGATAAAGACAAGGGTACCTACTTAGTTTCAGCTATTTTTACGTAATCCTACCGACTGCCCCAATTAAGATAAATACTTAATTATAATTTTACTTGTGTTTTAAACACATCTTATTACACAAAAACAAAACATTTTTAAATGTATACATTGAAACTTCATTCGCAACAAATATGATTTGAAGAGCAGAAAAGCATGCTAAATACAATAAACTTTAACATGATTTTCAATATCATTAAAAAATAAGGTCTGGTTTAAAAGATATTTAGAACTTGTTTATTAAAACTGTCTTTACTAAATAACATTTTACTTCATTGAATTGCTATATTAATTATTTTTCATTAAAGAACCATTAAAAATCACAAACTGCTTTGCAGACTGTTCTTTGACAATTTTATGAAAAATCCAGAAAGAAGAAATTTGACTTGGAATTTGGATAAAGGCTATTCAAAAGATGATCTGTTAGAAACATATCCTAGAAGAGCGTCCTTTGCTGGGGTACAGAATTCCTTAGAGGTAACCATGGTGACTCCCAAAAACGATATCGATCATATCTGTAAAGATTCAGTACAAGGATACAAGGTAAAATAAAAAAATAATAATCAACTGTCATAATTCCGAATAAATATAATAATAATAACAGAATGTAGAATAAGAGGAAGGGGGGTCCGCGAGGACAGATCTTTTAAAATTAGAGGACTATGAAATTAGGGGACAGTTTTTTACTGCCTCAATATATAGAGAATCTCTCGACATTAATGAAACACTTGATGTATCTAATTACCTTAAATATCTAAACCTATGTATTTTAGGTGGCTTTACACACACCCATGAGAATTCCCAGACCGAGTCAACAGTATTTTAGGGTGCCTCTTGATGAAGTTGTTCTGGGTACTATCCAACCCGTCATGATCACCACCTCGGATACTGTCAAAGTTTATAATCCCAAAAGACGTGAATGCTACTTTCCTCCAGAGAGACAACTTAAGTATTTTAAAATCTACACGCAACTCAACTGCAACTTAGAATGCCTGACAAATTTCACGTTGCAGCTGTGTCGTTGCGTTAACTTCTTTATGCCACGTAAGTCTAACAAATTAAGTAACCCACTAGTAACACTCGATATCATACTTAGTGATGGGATCACTCGAGCGAAATTTCGCTCGAGTACTCGGTTATTTAAATAATCGACATCGCTCGATTATGAACGAGCGATGCAAGTGACAAGTACCAAGCGACGAAAGCAAGCGATCCTAGAATGAAATAAATTGAAATCCGATTTTAATGTGACATACTCGATAAAAAGCCGAGTGAATTTTCTACATACATTGCAGGTAGCAAATTTATACGACGCCGTATATATATTTATCCGTTGCGTATCTGAGAGACAAAATTTTACGACATACACCGACAATGCTTTGAAATAAACTAAATCAAGCGATCAAGCGAATCGCTCGTCGTTTGCTACTTACCACTCATCACCGAAAGAATCTGTACCCTGCGCACGCAACTTACTGCTTGGCGCTTGGCTTTAACGAGTACTTACAACAAGCGGCGGACGAAAAACTGTATTTTTAAATACGAGTGATATGTTGCTCGACCGATTGCTCGGTTACTGCAACCGCTTGGTACTCGAGTACTCGATTATTGAAATTAATCGGTTTTTCCCATCACTAATCATACTATTCCACTTCGCGACATATGACGAAAATATATGCCTAGATTATTTTCTTTTAATCAATACCTGTATGGCATACACACTAGTCCCACGTGATACCACACCAATCTATCCGGCGCCGGCGGCGGCGTGGCGGTGTGGCAATTTTTTCCATCGATATTCATGGGCCATTGGGCCATGCTATACGGCCTATGCTATAAGGCCTATTTTGTTTGTCCTATTTCTATGTCTTGTACCCAGTTTCCTATCCCTGTGCCCTGCACCAGCTTGTGCAGCTTCTGGAAAGGATGGGAGCATAGTTCCTCCGGTTCTAGCTTCGTATTCCCAAGAATGTGTCGCTTGCGATCCAGAATCTAGAAGTGACATATTATGTACTCTGCTGTATAAGGATTTTTATCGCCTAGTCTGCAAAGTCTCCTTTGATATAGGGAGATCTTGTTCAGGTAGCACTTGACAGCCATATAATCTGTTGTAATCCGCATTTTATTCCTGCTGAGTATTAGCAGTTCCTTTGTGGTTTTAAAATTAGGTCCTTGGATAAAAGCCCTGCCATGCCTGTGCCCCTGTCTTTTTCATTTGGGTATTCCCAGTACTGGATATGGTACAAGATACCATATTATACCTAGAATAATGTAATACTGTTCGGTTCTGCCAGAGTTTCAAGTTTATGCAGGCATTCCCAAAGGAGTCTCTTAAGTGCCGCTGGACTGTTTGGGCATATATTGACGAGCTTTTCTGAATAAGCTCTTCTATTGATTTTTCTAGCGCACTTGTATTTTGTATGTATAATGATGAAAATTTTTGTCTGGAATACGGTCGAGTACTTATACATGGAAAAGTATAAGCTTGCTCTTGGTCTTTCCTAAAAATACTCCAGCTCCTGTTTACACATCTGTCTACATTCCTCGATCTAATTTAGTCACCCCGAATGCTTTGTGGTTGTGACAAAGGGAGGTCAATAGTGGTTTTTGAGCCATTTTTGAATGTGTTTCTGATCACCATTAACTGCATCAGCAGATTCTTGTAGTATTCAAACGTCAATTCAAAGCTATATTGATAACAGTTTGGATTATAATCAAAACAAAAATCTTTACCCATTGAAAGGATTTTGGACATATTTCACATTTTGTGAAATTGAAAAATAAATTTTAAATTTCTATAACAGCTACCTAAATTGCAATTTACCCTGTATAACCTGATATTTAATTACAATAACCATTGCATGTTAAAGAAAATTAAATTTGATCCGAAAAGTTATACAGGGTGAAACAAAATTAATATTGAACATTTGCCACAAGCAAGTTACCCCTTTATTTTAAATAGAACACCCAGTATATTATACCGGTTTCCAAATACTATTAAGGTTGCCTACCCCTCCGACAAAGATTTTCCTAGATATTTTCATTTTTATGATTTTGTGCCAGTAGATGTTTATTATTTGATAAAAACTCGGTGGATATAACTTTTTTTTTTGGGGGGGTAATTTAACAAAAATTAAAGGGATGTAGAGTAAAATACTCAACGGTACTAAAAAGATACATGTTTAAAACATATTTTAATTATTACTGAATTAAAATTAGATATAAGTAAGCGTATAATTATGACACAAAAAGTTTCCTTTCCAATATGTTTCCTTTCCTGTTCACTGAATAAAATGATTCTCTTTTCAAAAGATGTTATTTGTTTATTCGTTTCATGTTAAAAGGCACATGTGGAGTTCTTCTTCAAAAAGCAGTCACAATCATTTCTCTCATGTTGTCGACAATAGCTGCTCCAGTTTGGTATAAACACTGTCTTTTGCATAGTAGAATGTAGAATGTTTAGGAGGGGAGTTAATCACCGCGACCTTATAGATCTATTGTGTGTTCCCCTTTCTTGAGTTATAACGAGTTATAACTCATCATACAGTCTCAGGGCTTTAAGAAAAGCCAGTATCTGAGACGGCTCCACAGAGGCCAGCTCTCCATCCTCGACATCAGACGTACCGAGGTTCATGGCACGAATGGTCGTCGTCTCGGCGCACTCAGTGATACGGTGTTCTGGTGTTTCCCCATTTTCCCCACAAAATCTGCATTCGCCGTTGTTTCTCAGTTTCAGCCTACTGAGGTGTTCGTTGAGGAGAGAGTGTCCTGTTAGAAACCCCGTGACAATCCGAAGATTGTTTTTACTTAAATCAACGAAAACCTTTGATTTTTCTCGGTCATAAGTTCTAAGGAACTTTTTCGAGTGTCTTAGACCGGTGGAGGACACCCATTCCAAGTTACGGATGGAGTCTTCCAGATTCTTTAGTTCCGCTTTCAGTTGGTTCCCGTTTGGAAAACAGAACGGTTCTGGTCCAGTTAGTGGAGTGTTCGCTCCTTTTCTAGCTAGATCATTTGCTTTTTCATTGCCTTCTATCCCTTGGTGAGCAGGCACCCAGAGTAGGAGGACTTTATTTTCTTTGCCTAATTTGTTGAGCTTCTCCAGGCATTCTTTGACCAACTTCGAATTGATGGTTACTGAGTTGATCGCGTTAAGTGCTGCTTGACTATCGGATAGGATGGCAATTTCCTGTTTTCGATAGTTCCTATCTAAGATAAATTGTACGCATCTTTCGATAGCGCAAATTTCTGCCTGAAGGATACTGGGGTAGGTGCCCATTGGTTCGGAGTATTCAGTTTTCGGCCCAAATACTCCTATCCCTGTCCCTGCTTTGGTTTTGGAAGCATCCGTATACCACATGATGGTATGGCCTTTTGCATAACTCAATAGGAACATTTAAGTATTCTATTAATTGCTGAATGCAGTCACCATCTAATAGAATCATATGTAGGATATAGGATAAGTTTCCATTTTTGGCAAATTAACGTTCAAAGAAGGTAATATTTTTTAGGTCTAAAAGGTTATCCAATATGTGGAGCCGGTAAAAAGAGATGCATGTTATACGCAGAAAAATATCTGCAAACGAAAGGTTTAATAAATAAACTAAAACCAATGAATGACTCATCTCAAAATAAGACAGAAGATAATGACGATATACAGGTATGTAATAAATTTAAGAGTAAAAAAATGATTAGAACTCTGTATAATAGTATTAATAAAAAAAATCATAGTGAACCATTGTTCAGATAATACACCATATCAGTTTTCCTAATTGCAATTTTAACAGCAATTGAAGACTTGAAGTTCCTAAATAATGTTCTAATGTACCAAAATCATTATTTCGAGATAAACAACATTTTTGGTGTAGAATGTAGAGTTATAACTCATCATACAGTCTAAGGACTTTAACAAAAGCCAGTATCTGAGACGGCTCCACAGAGGCCAGCTCTCCATCATCGACATCAGCCGTACCAAAGTTCATGGCACAAATGGTCGTCGTCTCGGCACACTCAGTGATAAGGTGTTCTAATATTTCCTCATTTTCCCCACAGAATCTGCATTCACCGTTGTTTCTCAGCTTCAGCCTACTGAGGTGTTCGTTGAGGAGACAGTGTCCGGTTAGAAACCCCGTGACAATCCGAAGATTCTGAAGAACTTTTTCAAGTGTCTTAGACCGTTGGAGAACACCCATTCCAAGTTACGAATGGAGTCTTCCAGATTCTTCAGTTCCGCTTTCAGTTGGTTCCCGTTTGGAAAACAGAACGGTTCTGGTCCAGTTAGTAGAGTGTTCAGCTCCTTTCCTAGCTAGATCATTTGCTTTTTCATTGCCTTCTATCCCTTGGTGAGCAGGCACCCAGAGTAGGAGAACTTATTTTCTTTGCCTAATTTTTTGAGCTTCTCTAGGCATTCTTTGATCAACTTCGAATTGATGTTTACTGAGTTGGTCGCGTTAAGTGCTGCTTGACTATCGGATAGGATGGCAATTTCCTGTTTTCGATAGTTCGTATCTAAGATAAATTGTACGCATCTTTCGATAGCGTAAATTTCTGCCTGACGGATACTGGGGTAGGTGCCTATTGGTTCGGAGTAGTTAGTTTTCGCCCCAAATACTCCTATCCCTGTCCCTGCTTTGGTTTTGGAAGCATCAGTATACCACGTTATGGTATGGTCTTTTATAAGCTGAGTAAGTGTTTCTCTCTTCCAATCCTTTTTATTACTCAATACAGTGAGGTTACTCAGTGAGATGTTTCTCAAAGTTGTAAATTCTTGGTATACAGAGTGAACCATTGTTCAGATAATACACCATGTCAGTTTTCCTATTTGAGGTTTTAACAACAATTGAAGACTTGAAGTAAATAATGTTCTAAGTACCAAAATTATTATTTTGAGATAAAAAAACATTTTTGGTGTATAACAAATGTATAAGAGCGGGCGGTGTATCTGTTGAGAATTTTTTTCAATTTAATAGCCGTGGCACTTAACGCTTTATATATGTTGTTGGTTATGGAACTTTAGGGACATTTTACAAATAAAACATGACAACTTGATTTTTGGTATTGAGAACAATGAATTTTTTTATTTCAAGGGGGGGGGGTAATCTTCAATTATTTTTGAAAAATAATAGAGCACATTTGAATTTATGTTCATAGATAGTGAGATTCAAATATATTTTCTGTATTCTGTAGAAATTCTGTATTTTTTTGCTTAGTGGGTTAGCCAAAAGAACCCCATTTTTCAAGTCCGGTTCGACAGCGTGATCCGCCTTCCGGTTCCTTGCCGCCATTGTCTTCTGTCCATCCAGTCATCAGTTTGTAAATTGCGCTATGACAATGCGTTTGTTACCCCCTTTAACCATGTCTCTCGGGGTCTTCCTCGTTTTCTCTTTCCAGTCGGGATCCATTTCATTATATTCTTTGGTAGCCTTTCCTCTCCCATTCTGTTTACATGCCCATACCAGATTAATTGTTTTTTTTTGGATTTCTTCTATGACGGTTATCTCTTTCTTCGTTATTCTTCTTATTTCTTCATTTCGCACTCTTTCCAATTTTGATTTTCTTGCCGATCTTCTAAGGAAGTCCATTTCAGTTGCTAAAAGCTTTCCTTCCATGGACTTGCTCATCTGCCATACTTTAGCGCCATAAGTAAGTGTGCTTCCCTCTCTAACTATAGAGTCATATATGCGGGTTTTTGTTGTGGTATTTATATTTTTTTGCCAAAGAATAGAATTTAGTGCCCCTGTAATGCCCCACTAATTATAATTAAATAAGCTAGACTGATTGGTATATATGGGGCACTTTTTCCGTTATTTGGAACATGGAACACTATACTGTGTATTTTAAATCAACACAGTTTTTTCATTTTTATATTGTGATATAAAACAAAGCACCAACTGATACCAAATATCAAATTCTTTTCATTAAATCTCTTAATAAAAATACTCCCATATGAAATGAAATTGTCTATAAAATTGTTATAAATTATAATATATGCTGAAAATTATATGCCGTTTATTGGTTTTAGGTGCCTTCATGTGATTGTATGCCTATCTGCACTGATTTAAGCTACGATGTTGAGACATCTCAAGCTAATTGGCAATGGCAAGAGAAACAGACAGTTTTGTATCCTAACAAAAAGAATTTTATCAAAAAGTAAGTGAAAGATGTTTTTTTCAAAATAATAAATACATTTACTTAAAAGTAATAGAAATACATTTTTCTATTAGTTTTCTTAAAAACCTTTAAAAGGTGGTTATATTTTTACCTTTTGCTGGGTACTGTGTGGATAATCAAAAATCTAATTCAACTAAAGAAGTGTATTAACAAAAAAGAACAACACTAAAAACTATTTAATACTATTTACAGATGGGGAGGTTTAGAGCTTTTGGTGTAACAACACCAAAATAAAACACTAATTCAGCATAATACACCAAAACACTTTACTTTTAAAACTCGCGTTTAGCTAACCATCTTAGCTAACCATTCGATGATCATCAGATGATTAAAAATAATGTTTATTTTTAAAATGTTTTGGTGTATTGTGGTGAATGAAGTGTTTCATTTTAGAACTTTCATCTTAAAACATACTATTGCTTATGCTATACTTCTATTTATATGACGAATGTATGACTAATTTATTTAACCATGTGAAAACTCTCACGAAAGTATTCAGAGCGACAGGTACTCAATGTACTCTGTCTTTTTCCCAGCCAATAGGAGTACAAGATATTTAGGAACCACCTTTTGCAAGCCAACGCCCATTGTTTTGATCATGGATAAATTAAATCTGAACGGTACTATATAGATTAAAAGTATTTGCTTTTTTTAATCTATCTAATTTATTATAGCTCTAACAAAAACGCATCTTTATAATCCTTGTTTTTCTATTATTTTTTTCAGTTTTCATCAATCTCGTTTGAATTTGTACTTCAAGAATTCACAGTTCGTCACATCAAAGCGCCACGAACTCTATGGTCCAACGGACTTCCTGGCTAATTTTGGAGGTCTTCTAGGTCTATTTACTGGATTCTCTATTTTATCTCTTATGGAAGTGATCTACTTCTTAACTGTTAGGATCTGTTGCAATCTGAATTTGTATGGTATATGGTACGGTCCAGATGCATAATCTATGTATATCTAATACAATAAAAATATTGTTTAAAACATAGTAGAAGGACAAGACCAATTCTGCCTGTGAACACAGTTCTTTGAATTGTATACCGGCTAGTGCATGGGCGTTAAAAGTATAGGAAATCCGATGCAAATCTTGAACTGTCCAAATACTGGCACAAAACAGAGATAACTACACAAAACATCCGCCTTTGAACTTCATCTGTCATGTTAAGAAATTAAAGTAAATAAAGCGCCTCTCGTGTTTGCTCACATACTAAAAATTTCAATTAATACTTTAGTCCTTCCTAACAATTCCAACATTAACCATTTGAAAAAAAACGTCGTCATAGTTATCATCGCTGTCATTTTATATGTAAAATTATATGCGATAAGTTTATCGTCATTTACCAGTCAATTTGGTTTGCCTTTTTTCTCTCATGTGGTATATTAAATTCTATGTTAATAAACAACTATGCCAAATTATAAATGATGAGTTTTATTTGTTTATATCCATTCCATTTACAACAATTTTACACCTTTAGTGAAATATACTTGAATCACCCAATATACCGGGAGCGTCTCAAAAATGACTCATCCCTATAATTGTTTTATTTTTTCAGATAAAAAAACGACATTTAGTTAGTATATGACATAAATTAGGATTGATTGCCGTATTTAATTGTTTTTGGTCATTTCCTGTTTAACCGGAAATAACTACAATTTTTGATTTTTAAATGGCACTCTCGGTACCTCGGCGTCTCGGTAACATGCGGTTTACTTGCAATAATAATAACATGTGATGTTATTCAATTTGACTCGAAATACCAAGTGTGTGGTACTGAATTATTCGTAAAAAAATTGGTTTTCCAAATATGCTAATGAGTCACTCTTGTTCCATTTGAAAAAATTGAGATATGATTAAAAATACGATTTGTGCATATTTTAACCGGTCAAGACAAGACACGAAAAACATTAGGCAATTAAAACTATTTTTCCAAAATTTCCTCCTTTATTAAAAATTAGTGTTTTTAATACAGCCATGGCACTCTAGATTGAACTCTCCAAAAAAATCCTTTATGGGTATTTCGCCACTGCACTGCAAGAAAATCTACAAAATAAAATAGTTATTTTTTGTAAACACTTCTGCGTTAAACCTAAACGGACGCTGCGCTGCTTGTCAGAAGTTATGTTTACAGTAATATGCTAATACGATTATTATTATTATTATATTATTTACGATTTGCTTTTAAGCAAAAATGTCAAAAGTTGACATATGATATGTCATTATATTCAGAGTGTCATTTTCTATCGAATAAAGTAGAAATATACCTAGTGTGCCATTTAAAAATCAAAATGTGTAGTCATTTCCAGTGAAACAGGAAGTGCCCAAAACAATTAAATGCGTGAATCAATCGTCAAAATCCCTACCAGCGCGTAAAGAAGTTTCGCTTCAAAATTCATCTCGATCCACTTACACTTTTTGGGCCACTCTGTAGAAGTTAAAATATTTGCCTGTAATACACCCTAACAAATACTTTAAGCTTGCACTTATACAAAATTCCTAAGTTTTGTATTCTAGGAGCTACCGATGCCGCTTTTTCACTATTGCCGAACCCTGTAGGGCTTTTTCGGATACTAGGTAATTCTGTACACTAATTAAATTATTATTCTGGATGCCGGGCCACAGCGGCATCCAAGGCAACGAAAAAGCCGATGAGCTAGCTAGGCAAGGATCATCAGCATCTTATCTTGGTCCAGAGCCAGTACTAGGAATACCCAAATGTATAGCCCGTAGTGCACTAAAACTCTGGATCAGGGAAAAGCAGAATGTCCACTGGAGAAACAGACAGGGGCACAGGCTCAGGAAGGCCTTTATCCAAGGGCCTAGCTTTAAAACCGCAAAAGAACTGCTAATGCTTAGCAGGAATAAACTGCAGATTACAACAGGACTCTTGACAGGACACATGGCTGTCAAGTGTTACCTGAACAAGCTCAACCTGTATCAAGGAGGTCTTTGCTGCAGACTCTGCGATAAATATCCTGAAACAGCGGAGCACATAATATAATAGTTTTATGCAATGCTTTGGATCGCAAGCGATACTTTTTATTTGGGAAAACTAGGCTAGAACCGGAGGAACTATGCTCCCCCTTCCTATCAAGGACCTGAATAAGTTAGTGCAGGGTACAGGAATAGGAGAATGGGTGCAGATATAGAAAGGGGACAAACACAATAAGCCTCACAGGTCGCAGTCTTTCCGGCAAAGGACATCCCCTTGTTATTGAGAAAAAAAAATTGTACAGGGTGGACCATTTTGGTTGTTTCTATAGGGTATCTAGGAAACCGTGAGAAATATTCAATTTTGATACGGGTTGATCTCGGGTTCTTTTTTTTGAAAAAATTACAATGGCGCAAACGGATCGTGGCTATCTTTCAGTTTCGAAGCTACAGGGGGATTTTCAAATTTTGTCCTTTTTCAAGATGATCGATAGTTTGTTTATTTCAGCAACCACGGAAAAATGAATTATATACATTCTAAAGGCACTTTTCTGTGTAGAATGCAGTGGCGTAGTCAGACTTTTTTCGAATTTTTTTTGAGATATTAACTATACTTATGTTTTTTTTTTTAAATAAAACCCCCTGTATATTTTTAGACAGAGTTGGTACCGTCTCCGCACGCCGCCACTAACAGCATTTCAATAGCTCTACTTGATGTTGTTGGATCTAGTGTTACGGCTCCGAGGACATTAATATATTGATTTTATTCATCTTCTTTCTGTTAATTTCTCAGACGCGGTTTTTGAAAAGATCCAAAATTGATTAAAGTATCTTCTAACCTTTTAAAAATGGCTGGGTTTGGTTGCTAGCGCTCTGGATACCGCTCAAAATATAAATCAACTGCTATTTGCTTATGCTTGTTAGACTCAATATAACATTCTAACATATTATATTTCTCAAAATTTTCAAATTTACTCATTTTTTTATTATTTTAAACACACACACATCAATCTGTGGAAATTAAATGCCAGGCATCCATCAAAGGTATATCCCGATCACCATGACAACCGTTTACTATGTTACGCGGCCTACTATCTACTAAGTGGATATTTTAAGAAACATTTTAAATGTTGAGGTTAATATAGAAATTTTAAAACATTTATTGACGTCATCAATCATATAGAAATTGACACTAAAGCCTATAAACCTGAGTAAATGAAATTTTAGCAAACATGTTTAAATTTGTTGACTAATTTAAAATACCAAGCAGCTCTTCATTATACTTTATGGAGCAAATGATTGTAACAGATATTTTATTTAGATTAAAGCTGCAAAAATCAGTTTAAAGCGATTTTTATTATCGCCTTGTTGGTCACATTGCGCCATGTTCAGCAATGTTGTCGTGTATTATTTGACAATTATCCTAGTGTCAGTCATTATTTTGTATAATATCGTGTTGTTGAATTTTTGGGAGTAATTTTCGTTTTTTTGCCGTTTTTCATAGTTTTTTTCTTAAATTGTACTTCTAGGCACAAACAGTTCAATTTAAGAACTAAATTTTCGAGACTTTTTACTGCATTTTTTGAAATTGTGGATTGAAAATATGCCGAAGCCTTTAAACAGTCGCAAAGCGCTTGTAGCTTCACTGATAAAATATTTTGAGCGCGAACGTGACAGTAAAGGTCCTTTATTACCCTTGAAAGAAGTCAGAGAAGTAAGATTGATTGGTAAGCACATTATACCACTTTCAAGTTATTTCTGCTTATTTCAATTTGTAGCGAGTAACTGCTGCCTTACAAAAAATATATAAAAATTATATTATACTAAATATATTGTTTGTCACTTTTAAATTAAGATTCATCTCCTAAATCCATCACAATCTGGCAGCGCTGTCGCCATCGCTTGTCACTCAAAGTTGATGACGTGCATCGGGAAATGTTTTAAAATTTCTATAGTGAAAATAAATATAGAGTGTTAATATTTTCGAGAAGCCCATGCCAAGCTGAATAAGAAAATTTAAAAATATACAGGAGGTTTTAATAAAAAAAAATAGTATAGTTAATATCTCAAAAAATATTTTTTTCAAAAAAAGTCTAACTACGCCACTGCATTCTACACAGAAAACAAACTATCGAACATCTTCAAAAAGTACAAAATTTGAGAATCCCCCTGTAGCTTCGAAACCGATCAAGATAGCCACGATCCGTTTGCGCCATTGTATTTTTTCAAAAAAAGAACCGAGACTGCAGTATGAAATTTGAATATTTCTCACGGTTTACTAGATACCCTATAGAAACAACCAAAATGGTCCACCCTGTACACTAAATTGTCCCACAAGACTACAACTCGTCAAACAAAGAATTAACCTGTTTGTGTCAAAAATCTACCGGACAATAACGTCATTTTTATGACCTGTCAATGTAACGTCTAAAAATTTTTGTGATCGCTCAACTATCTCTAAATCATCCAAGATGACGGACACGGCGGAAGACCTGAACTACGATTGCAACTATAACATGTTTCTGGCCAAGACTATGCTACCGAATCTGAACAAAACCGATGGTAAATGTGCTTAGTTGTGTGGAATACGCGTCGGTTATCGTTTACCTGTTTTAGATAGACAAAAAGCGGTGCGATGGATGAAGAAATTGGCCACCTGTAACAAATCGATCGAGGAGATGAAACTAAGGAACGATTTTATGTATTATTTGGTGGTTAATATCCAGCAGGGAGAGCTACAACCGCCATTTACGGACCCGCCTCCCGCTAGTGCGCTGCCGGATATAGCTCATCTTCTGGTAAGCTATACAGTAAAATAAAACACTAAATCACCACAATACACCAAAACAGTTTTAATCATCTGCTGATGATGCTTACGTGGTTAGCAAGACGCGCGTCAAGTGTAAAAGTAACAGTGTTTTAGTGTATTGTAGTGATTTAGCGTTTTATTTTGCTGTGTAACAAAAGAAAGACAAAGATTCCAACCCCCAACTGTAAGCTAAACTGTCATAACAGTCAATTCCAATAGTGAATGTGTTTGAAATTGAGAGTTATACAGTTTATAGTTGTGTCTTTTAGATATAATTTATTTTTAAATTAATTTTATGCTTAAATTAAATTGTTGGGAAAGTGATTTTAACTGTATTCAGTAGGTAACAAACCACTTCAGTATAACAGTAATGAATTTGGCAGCAACTATATTATTTGAAATTAATACCACCACTTTCTCTTATACATTCACGGGTACGAAAAACGAGCAAATTAAATTTTTGATGTATTTTAATGTTTAATACACTCAGATGCAAAAAAAACGCAACGGAGAAATTTTTGGTCAAATTTAAAGTGTTATATTTTTGGCCCTATTTTCATGAATTTTTTAGCAAACTGTGTATAATTATATCAACTATAATTCGTAAACTAAGTTTTTTATGAACTTTAGTATTTGGCATATTATATAGGGTTAATCGTGTAGTTGGTTTTTGTCCTTAACTTTAAAACACCCTGTGCAATAATTTCGTGTGTAAATTTTCTTAAAATATAATTTTACGGTCAGAACCATGTCTTCTGAGCATTTTGTTTTTTGGATCATGTCAATATATGCCTTGGTTAATTTTTAAGAGCGAAATGAACTTGACACCAACAATTTGCAATTTTTTCATTCATCATTATATTTTGATGTAATTTTTTAATATGACGAGATGGTTTTGGTGACTATTGTCGTAATGTCATATTACGCTGCATTGGATACTTTATACTAAATTAAAAAAAAAACGTTTAAGACTAAGATACAGTCCTGGTTTTAATAAACATTAATAACGATAACAGAACTAACGATATTAAAGAAAGCATCTGTAATACCTACTTAACTAATCCTAACCCTCCCCCAGACCCAGCATGTCCCAAACGTCGAACATGAGCAGTTCATAGTAGTATATAGTTCACAATAATCACCAAAGCCGGCTTGTAATATTGAAAAATAACTTCAAAAAGAAATGATAATTGATAAAATTGCAAATTGTTGGTGTCAAGTTCATTTCGTTCTTAAAAATTAATCAAGGCATATATTGACATGATCCAAGAAACAAAATACTCAGGAGACATGGTTCTGACCGTAAAATTATATTTTAAGATAATTTACACACGAAATTATTGCACAGGGTGTTTTAAAGTTAAGGTAAAAAAACAACTCCCCGATTAACCCTGTATAATATGCCAAATACTAAAGTTTATAAAAAACTGAGTTTACAAATTAAATTTGATATAATTATATACAGGTTGCTAAAAAATCATGAAAATAGGGCTAAAAATAACAAAAATATAACACTTTAAATTTGACCAAAAATTTCTCCGTTGCGTTTTTTTTGCATCTCAGTGTATATTGTGTTTTGGTGGGTTGATTTTGATGTTTTTTGGGCAATTTCTAGCTAGGTTATTTGACTTTTTAGCAAATCTTTCTAAATGAAAGTTTCCATCTGTCAATTATACGAGAGAAAACAAAATTTTGATATTTTGGTGAAAGTTTAAAATACTCGGTGGAATATGCTAACAAAGCAAGGAATTATTTTATAATCTAGGTACGTCTTTTCTCCATGTTTTTTTTATTCATCTCAATTAGTTATCTGTCGGTATTTGAGTAACGCGATTTTGGAGGGGTATTTTTTTGTAACGTTTTGTCGCGCTCCACAACGAATCAGGAACCTGTTACTGAAGAACGACAATCATAATGACGAAAAAAATTTTTATAATCGCACTTGAAGTTAGCTCGAAACGTAGTAACCGCATAGCGACGTGTTTAGCTCCAGCCGTCGCGATTTCGCCGGTCACCAACAGTAGTATCTGGAACTGGTATGTCCGTAGCGCCGCGCTATCTCTATTGGGACGTGTTCGCTCCAGCCGTCACGCTCCTAGAGTTGTAGTTCCCTGTCGTAAACAGAAGTAACTGCTGTAACTGGGCATCGACGCTCGACCTCGGCGGCGTGCTACTTCGCTCCAGCCGTCGCGCTCCTAGAGTTTTAGTTCTCTGTCGCGAACAGAAGTAACTGCTGTAACTGATTATCGACGCTCGACCTCGGCGGCCACGTACTTCGTTCCAGCAGTCGCTGGAGCGCTTCTAGGGTTTCGGTTTTGCCTGTCGCGATTTGTTCGGTTACTATTGACGTTGGTGCTCCCGTCGCGACGTTACTTTCGAAATAGCGATTTTTGGTATGTACTAGGCATGATATAAAATAGTGTTTTTTGAAAGATAAAACGCAAAAGCAAATAAAAATTTTTATACAACAAAAATATTATTTTTTTACATTTACAAAAATATTTTATTTGATTTTATACATTTATATAAGTTTTATTGTTTATATCTATTTTTAAGGTTAGGTTAGACCAATAAACTAAAATATTCGCTTTTGAATAAGACAGTAATGATTTACAGCAATTTGATTTTGGGTTCTCAACAACACACTTATAAAATAGTGTTTATTGTTTTTCTAATGTCACTATCATTGAAAAGTCATATAATTATTGTTTATTGACGTTTACTCTAGTAGAGATGTTTTTAAGTTATGTTATTGTTGCTATAATTGATCATGATTTTTCAAAAACAGTGACATTACATAAATCATAAACACTATTTTATAGGTCTGTTCACTAGGACCAAACAACGGCATGGTTTTAATGTAAAAAATACGAAATAATGTTAGTGTCTTCTTCAAAAGCGAATATCTCCAAGAAACACAAAGCTTTTGATATGAATCAAAAAACAAACTTTCGAGAAATCATATACTTAAATGATAAAATGATTTTTAAATTCCTTGCTTTGTTAACGGTACTCCACATGGTGTTTCAAACTTTTACAAAAATATCAACATTATCCCTCGTATAATTGACATGGTGGCAACTTTCAATTTTAATTTAGTCAGAGATACTAAAAAGTCAAATAATATAGCTACAAATTGCTTAAAAATAATCAAAATTGGTCCACTAGAACACAATATACCGGGCGCGTCTCAAAAGTGGCTCACCCCTATATTTTTTTTTATTTTTTCAGATAAAAAAACGAGATTTGGTATGTGTAAATTAGGATTGATTGACGTATTCAATTATTTTCGGTCACTTCCGGTTTCACCGAAAATGACTACAACTTTTGATTTTTAAATGGCACCCTCGGTATTTTTTTACTTTATTCGATAGAAAATGTCACTCTGAATCATAGATAAAAGAAAATAATCTACTATTAAGATAGATATGAAACTTAATAGTAAAATTTTGGGTCAAAGCGCCCCTCCGTGTTTTTAGTGAAGACTACGTTTAACCCAGCGCCTTCGCCTTTTCTGCTGTAAATGTTTTTTATGTTTATATCTGAATTCAAAGGATTTATTTTTAAAGTTACACTGATATATTAGTATATCAGAGTAACTTTAATAAAACATAAGAATATATATATTTTACGATTTATTTTTTTATTTATTTTACAGAGTTTCATGTAAATGATCGTAAGTCGACTGGCTGTCTAATGAATAGACCGAGATTTATAGATTTTAAAGCGAACGAAAAAAAATCGAACAACGAATACATACCATATATTTTTCTTTTATCTAAGATAAGACGTAAAGATTTTTGCAGTTTTGTTAGTTTCTTTGCAAGATGCAACACAACAAGAAAACACCATTTTTACAGTTAATAAATAATAAAACTATTTCTGACTATGATATTTAAAATTTAGATAGATAGAAAATTAAAAAACAAACCAGTATTTGCAAACGCAGGCCCAAATTCAATAAAAATCAAAATTTTTCCTGCGAAAATCAGGCTTTTTCACTGAAAAGGTATTTTTGATTTATTAGCAGTCATTGTCAAGTTGACAATATACAGGGTGTTTTCGAATTAGTCTAAAAAAATTATGGTGTGATTCCTCATGTGTTCTTAAAACAATTTTTATCTAACCATTGGGTCTAAAGTACTTCCTTTCTGATCTACAGGGTGTTAAAAATTAAAAAACTGCTTAACATAAATGGTACACTACTGCTTTTTTAAAGAAAAAATATTTTTTTATTGACTGGCCATCCCTTTTCAACAAAATTGATCTTTTAAGTTTTTCTTGTTCATCAAACGGTTGTCGAGAAAAAAATAAATATACTTATTAATAGCCCGGCTTAATACATTTTCTAACGATTTTATATTTTTTAGATTAATTAGGAAACACCCTGTATATGCATATCACAGGCAACCAAATAAACTAGTAACCTCTAAAAATTATTTTTCCTACCACTAGCGACATACCGTGTTTTTAGTGTGTACTAAATTATTTTATCAAAATTTTACCATATAAGTTTCCAGGCAATGGCTCTGAATAGAACGATCATGTGTCAATTTTTGACATTTTCGCATATGGTTTATTTGAAATTGTTGCATACGGTTCATAATGACAATTTGACTCGAAATACCAAGTGTGTGGTACCAAATTATTCGTAAAAAAATGCTTTTTCCAAATATGCTAATGAGCCACCCTTGTTCCATTTGAAAAAATTGAGATATGATTAAATACTTATATCTACGATTTGGGCATCTTATAGCGGGCCCGGACAAGACACAAAAATTATTAGACGATCAAATCTATTTTTCCAAGCCTCTTTAAAAATTATTTTATTTAAAAATGTTTTTAATACACCCATGGCACTCTAGATTGAAATTTAAAATACGATTTTTTTAAGCGAAAATGTCAAAAGTTGACATATGATATGTCATTCTATTCAGAGTGTCATTTTCTATCGAATAAAGTAAAAATATACCGGGGGTACCATATAAAAATCAAAAGTTGTAGTAATTTCCAGTGAAACCGGAAGTGATCGAAAACATTTGAACACGTCAATCAATCCTAATTTATGTCCTATACTAACATACCAAATCTCGTTTTTTTAACTAAAAAAATAAAAAAGTTATAGGGGTGTACATGAAAATTTTATGGTGCCCGTTTTTCGTGCCGATGCCGGTTAGTGTAGATTTAAGTTCTCTGTAAAATTTCATGAATTTTTGAAATCAAACACTTTATAATATTTGAAGTTAACCACTCTTTAGATCAAAAATGTCATCATATTTTTAGTTCTAAAGACTTAATCAAAATATAATTTATTAACTAGTAATTGTTAATAACATTCTAATACCCTAAGGGGTTGATAAGAAAATTGTCTCATTAAATGTGTCATAGCTATCTACTACAGTTTGGGCTTTTTGTCACATAATAATGAATATTACGTTTTTTACTAATCTATGACTTACCCAGAAGTCAAACCCTGTCTTATATTTTCAAAAGAAACAAATAATCCTCTCGTTATTATGCCAATTCTAGGGCCTGTATATATGGTCGCGTCTCGAAAATGGGTCTCGGAAAAGACCGACAAAAATAATAGGTAACTAAGACACAGTTTCGAGACGCGACTATAAATACGGGTCTAGCGACGCGTAGGTAGGAGATTAACGGTTCGTCCTACGTAGGCGACAAAAGCAAGCGGGCGACACGTGCGACAACAGCGGGCGATGAGCTCGACGCGCGCGTCATATTTGAATTGCCTTCAATGCCGCTTCAGTCGCGCGACTCTCCTACTTAGGACAGCTTTGTAGGAAAACGTTGTTTGATAAATACGCGTCGCTCGCACCGCCCGAATCGCGCGCTTTTATCTCCCACGTAGGACGAAGCGTAAAGGTTGTCGCCCACTAGACCGCTGCGCGGCGCGGCGCTGGGAAGAGAATTTTTTCCGGCTGCGAAGGGACTGCGCCCACTATAGCGCGCTTTTGAAACGCGGCAACGCTATTTAGTTATAGTTGAAGTGTTTTTTACTTACAATAGTTTAGTTTTTAAAGCAATGAGTTCAAGTACTGACGAAAGCGTATTTTTTGTGCTCTTCTAACAGAGGAAGAGGAAGAGGGGGTGAGGAAAAGTTTGGACTCATACGATTAACCAAAAAAGAAAGAAGTTTGGAGAATTTTACCATCTTTTTCCAGATTTAATAAAAGACAAAATCATTTTTTTCAGTATTACAAAATATAAAGGAAACATTTTACGCACTCCTCAATTGAGGGTTTTAGAAGAAAAAACACCGCGTATATCTACTCATCATATTTTTTCAGAAGAGACAAATTACTAATATTTTTGATAATTCTTATTGATTCTGATGTGTATATTAGTTATGTGGTCAAAAAAACCCTGATCTTTTTGATATATTTAGGTAATTAGAATTTAAAAATTGGAGATTGTCACTTTTGTTAAAAAGTGGAGATTGCCAGTTTTGCCTCTACACCCCTCAATTATATTAAATCTTTGATAGAAAGGCATTTCGTCCATCTGTCTCTAGTGAGGGAAGAATAAAAAAAATATCATATTCCTTTATGAAAATCGATTTGCCTAATTTACCTTTAGAAATACAATTCTGCCATTAATACATATCACTAGTTCCTAGTCAAAAAGCCAACTGAAAAGACTCGAATGCAAAATTATTTCCCTTGTGAGTACGCAACTGCAACGCGCCGAAACGCGGGAGACGGAAAAAAGTTGCTAGAGAAGTCTTTCGACTTGTTGACGGAAACCCCGCGGCGCGCTTCTGCGCTGCGCGCTCTAATGTGCGTTGGTCCATTTAAATACATGGCAAGCAGACAAAAGAAATTTCCACATGGCGCCGCGCCGCGTCGCGCCGCGGTCTAGTGGGCGACAACCTTAAGGAGATGCGCGCGACTGAAGCGGTATCGAAGGCGATTGAAATATGTGGCGCGCGGCGCGCTCATCGACCTCTGTTGTCGCACGCCTCGGCCGCTCGCTTTTGTCGCCCACGTAGCACGAAGCCTAATAGTATGATAATAACAACACGCTGAGAGAAAATTATTCTATAAAACTATTATAATTTAACTGTTTCTTTTTCTACAGCCTGGCGGTGTCGCCGAAGTTGATTTGGAGGAATGGCGGGAGCACGCGGCAGGTGGCACAAAAAAGCCTATGTTATACGAAAACTCACCTGACGGAGGTGCCTTCCTAGCGGCTCAGCCGATACCCAGATGCGGAGCATTTTGTTACCTAGCTGTAGTAGCAAGGGAGCCCAAAAAGGACTGATAGCAGCTGCAGATGATATTACACCAATGACAAACATGTAGAGAGTTCAGTTTTGGAAATATAAGTTTAATCGTTATACTATATGAAGCCGTATTTTTTTAAAACATTTTATCTTCTGATTGTTATCCATACTTTTTAAGAAATAACACTTATTTATTATATATTCCTGTGAGAGGGTTTCATTTTGTTATTGTATTTGACACAAAGTTCCTTATTATAGGGAAGCCCAAGCGAGAGTTTTGAAATAATACAGGTATTTCAAAAAACATGTGCGATCTCTCGTGGGGAGATTCCTCACGTAAAAATAAGATTTATTTTTCATATTAACATGGATCCGATTCTGCTTTGTTTCGTAGCTACAGAGCGTAAAAGTCTTCATCTTTTTTCGGTTTATTATAATTTTCTTCAAAGTGCTTATAAGCGATTCAAATGAAATTTTGAGGGTAAAAACTACTATAAGAGCGACAAATTTTAATGCAAAAAGTGTCCACATATTCACCAGGGACCTGTATATGAGTTATCACTGAAATATTTTTCTAAGAAAAATATCTGCGCAACTGACTTTTTTTGTTAGCAGAATTTTATAGACCCTTAAATGCTGAATAAAAGTTGTCTTTTGATATTTTATCGATTTCGGTCTCCTTGATGAGATAAAAGCAATTTAATTAATTTGGCATCCAATAATTCTCATAGCAATCTTACAAAAATTAATGTCATTAACTTACCAAAATGTAATAAAAAATGTGAACAGTGTTATAAATGTTAGTAAAATTTAGTAATAAATTACATCATATCTTATGCTATGCTCTCCTGAACAGAGTGCGGACCGTCTGGTTACCGGTAGACCTTGCGTTCACTACTACACTACTGCGCATCACAAATTCGCCCTCTATTTCAGGAACTAAGGAGGCTAGGACAAAGATTTGTGTAGCATATTTAGTTTCATAAAAAAAGTAGCAAAGTAATGTGAAAATCGCATCATTGTATCTCTACGCATAAACGAGAAATCCCATAAAACACACGAAAATGGGATACCCTGTACAGATGTGGTGCGCAGTTGTGAACCGCAGTAGTCTACCGGCATGGCAGCCAGAAGGGCCGCACTTTGATCAGGCGAGCATAGCAAAATATATATTAAAGAACCAGGATTCTTAAAATTCTCATTTTCCCGACGTTTCTAGCTCTTTTACTTTCTCTGTTGATGGGCTGGAGTAAAAAATTTACGGATTAAAAGTAGTGCGAAAACGTTATGACCAATCAGAGCGCCGCACTATGGATCGAAGCATAAGAAAATATGGACATTGACTTATTTCGAAATTAATACTTTTATTTGATTGCTTTTTATGTACGACTTCAATAAATACAACAAAAATCTAAATTAATATGGCATATTATACCATATAGTTTACAAAATATACAGGGTGTCTCAAAAAAGAACTAATATCTAAACAAAAAAGAAAACAAAAATATTATAACAAAAGAGAAATTGCTTTCTGTATTAAATCTAAATTAATATGGCCTTTTGTACTAGTAATTTTAAAAAATACACGGGGTGTCTTACAAAAAGAGCTCGTCTATAAACAAAAAAGAAAACAAAACATTATAACAAATGAGAAATTACTTTCTCTGTTAAATCTAAATTGATATGGCCTTTTGTACCAAATAGTTAACAAAATATACAGGGTGACTCACAAAAGAACTAATCTCTAAATAAAAAAGAAAACAAAAACATTATAACAAAAGAGAAATTGCTTTTCACAATGGGCTTGATTGTTATTCCATGGCAAACTTGATATCTGAGTAACGAAATTGCTAAGCTAAGGGCACTGTATTACAAATGTATAAATATTATATCATTTCTGTATTGATAAAAAGACAAAACCTGAACTTCGACTCATTCATGTCCGGTGTCACTTGTTTATCTTAACTACATAAAAATTAATGGTATTAACGAAAACATTTCTGGGCCTTTCAACCATATGCCTTATGTATTTTAGTGTAATTAAGTCCCACTCCAATATTCTTCGACGAATATACTTACCTATGTATATCGGCAAATTACAAATTGTTTGATGGTGGACTGTGCGTGCATTGCATACATTCAAGGATTTTCACATTAAAAACATTATATTTTTTGCAGTGGCACTTTGGGGCAGCCATTTTTTTTATGATATGTGCTAGTAAAGGTGGCTCTTTACATTGCACGTAATATCTCCACTTACATCCGTTTACATTTTTTTGTAATTCAAGAAAACTTTATATTTTTAAGTCTTAATGACATAAATAAAACAAATGAGTTTTTCACTTCTGTTGTGACTTTTTTTTAAAATTTAACAATCCAATATTATAGCCCAAGAACGCTTCTAATAAGTCGTTATATATAAGAAACGAATATCTTTTACATCCATTTTAAAATTACAATCAAATGTAAGACTCTTTATCTACCAATTTGAATGATTTTTCAATTTACTTCAAATGGTGCTCATATGCTCAATAAGTAAATAACAAATAGACATACTGTATATGTTTTACAAGACTAGAATATCTCTTTAACACAAATATGTAAAAAAATATTTAAATTTGGAACTCTTCAAAAACGGCCAATGTCTCTATTTTCTTATGCTTCGATCCATTGTGCGCCGTGCCGTCACGGTCTTTAATTGTCATAATTTAATTACACACTTTTCTGCATGTAAATATTAACACACCTTGCCTTAACGCACCCGAGTTTTTCTAACAATCATTTTTTTTACTGTTTTGATCCACTGCCTAGACGCACGACTTTGTATAAAAGGTTAATGCATGGTGGGGGTACTTATCAGGGTGCAAAATTTCTCCCGTTATACAGGGTGTTTTAAAAAACATTTGCCATCTCTCATGTGGAGATTTCTCAAGAAAAGAATTTTTTTTTTCTCTTTAAAGAAAAATTTCTCTCTTTAAAGAACCAGCTTTTTTAAAATGCTCTCTCGAAAACGTTGCTAGCTCTTATATTAGGGAGATTTTAGGCCCTCTAAACATATTCCGTTATACCTTTATACGTGATACAGAGCAGGCGCATTGATACTTAAATAACCGAATACTTTGATAAGGGATAACGTATTACGCTAATTGCGGACAAAAATCGGTAACGCTAATAACGTGAAAGTTTATACACTGTTGTCGGATCTATTGCAATCATTTAACATTTAACTAAAATAAATGTAAGGCAATGTAGTTTTATAAATAAATCTATTCTTGGAACGAATCTGTAAGTATTTTCTCGTCAAATTAATGACCTGTTTAGTAAAATATTATCAAAAATTTGATCTTCTAAACATAAATTTGGCAATATACCGATATTCAATACCAGCTGTCAAGAGACCGTCTTCAACTTCAACTTGGAATAAAACGAAAAACAGCACAAAAACAGTTGTAACCATTACTCTTGTTTATATATATATTACTATACTTACTTATGTATATATAAGGCCATTACCAAACTATGAAATAAGACTCAACCTATAACTAGTATTCAATGATTCATGCTTATAAACTATTTGACGCTTTGATTAGAATAAACGCCACCTACCAAAATAAATAACGTAGTACGTGCTGTAGTTGAGCATCAAAAACGTTTTTCAGAAGGGGCCAAGGGAAACGCAGTCCGTTATTTTGTCAAGAGTGCGCATGTGCTGTATAACGAATAACGTTAGGATACAGTATAACGGCTGAAAAATGCAGAGGGCCTAATTTATAAGTAAAATAGCGAAATCGTTATGGAAATAAAAATATAAATTGACACCAACCACAAGCAAATCGTATATCCGTTGAATAAAAATGCAATAAATTTAAAAACTGCGTAATTTGCTAATCAATCAAAGTCTTTAAATTCAACCAATAAAATTAATACCGTATCATCGTATCGTCGGATAACGGATGCATGAAAATCAAACTTTAAGCGTAATAAAAGAAAATAAGTCACAAATTTGCAAAAAAGTCACCTGTACATCCTATATGTTTTTTTATTTATAAGAAATAAATATTACATAAAATAAAGTAATTCTTAAGAATCGTCGGTATTTTGGAAAGCTGACACAATATAATACAATAACGGAATTTTCGCTGTTTTGGAATCATCCATAACACCTAACTTGGTTGTTAAAACATCTCTGCCAGTCCTATCGCTTGATTGTCCGGATTCTTAAAAAAAAAGTAAAAGTATACTAAATACTTATAATTTAACAAATATTAATATAGGTATCGGGTGGTGCATCGTTGTTGGAAACATAGGAAATTCCATTCAAAGTTTAAACTGACCAAATATTGGCTCTCCTATTGATTTTACTGCTAAGTCATTAATAAGTTTTTTAAAGGTCTGCGTATTCAAAAATACGTTCCAAATTTGAACAATTTTGGACAGGCTGATTTTAAGTAGTTTAAGAAAAACTGCATCTATTTTTAAATTAACCAGGCAAATGCCAACGTACCTTAAGTTGTTATCCTATAATTTTGTAATTGTATTTTCTAAACGTTAGGCTTTTGCCCTTTGAATAAGAAGACTAAGGAAGGAGCATATCAAAAATCTTAGGTACACCGCGATGGGCCTCAAATATGCCCGACTTAAATTCCGGTTTATCAGTGCCGTTCTAATTTTATTTAAAAAATGTAAAACTATGATGTAGGGTAGACGTGGGATAGACTCAATAATTTGTTATTTTATTTTACGTTATGAATAAATGTTGGTAATTATTAAAATTGTTATAAAAATATATAATTCTAATAAAAATAGATAAGTTATAATAAGTATTTATTAACACAAACATCCGATACGCTACTGACGCAGGTAAGTCAAATTAACGTATCAAAATTCTTTGACATCTGATCTTTGACAAGTAGTAAATAAAAGTTAAAATGCAAGAAAATATATAATTTAGTTAATTTAAGCGAATTTCATAAATGATCGGTTTACTACACGTATGTATATTATATAGTCACTTACTAGCGAAAAGTTGTTCCATTATTTCACTCAATTTTTGCCGAGATCTATCGCACGCTACACAACCAACTATTTTAGAGTCTTTTTCGATAAATCGCGATAATGTCACTGTTAATTTAAGTTCTGCCACAATTTCCATCTAGATTTACTACCTTTATACAACTATCAGTAGTAGAATAAATAATAAATAACATAAAATAAGCTCCGTAAAGACTGACAAATCCACAAAATTTCAAATCAAATTCAAATGTGTCAAATGAATCGTCAAACAGAACTGTCAAGGATCCCCACCCTAGAGAGCTTTTTCCGCCCACCATGCATGAATACATGGATAGCATTATGATCCTTCCTTAGTCTTCTTATTCAAAGCTTTTGCCTCATCGTTTTAACCTACAAAAATGCTTTTCGAGGACACTAGCAATAGGTACAATACATACATACATACAGCCATTACTCGCTAACGAGTATTCGACACACATCAGAAGATGGTTACGCAAGGCGTTTTCTTTCATGAGCTTTTCTGTGACTGAAAAGCCCGATACGTGATGTTATTTGCCTACCGCACTCCGGACATTCAAAAATCTCATTGCTTTGTTGCCTCTTTACTTTTTGGTTGTCGCTGTTAACTGAGTTTACGATTCTTCTCCATTGATTTCTATTGTGAGCTGCTTCTTCCCACTCATTCTGCATGTTAATCTCCTTTAAGTTTTCGTGGAAAATGTCCTTGTACCTTTTCAGTTGTCCACCCGGCCTCCTCTTACTTTCCACCCGGCCTCCTCGATTTTGTAACCATGACTTCAATACTCTCACAGTTAGCTTTTTCAAGGATTAATACGTTTGAGACATGATGGAACCACCAGATTCTTAAGAGTTGTCTAAAGTGTCTCTGTTCATGTGTTGGCGGTACGGCATCGGCACCCAGGTTTCACTGCCATATAACATGGTGGGGATTATAATTGCTCGGTACACTGCAAGTTTCGCTTTTGTACACAAGTCATGATTGTAGAAAACCCTATCTGTTAATTTCCAGAATGCAATTGAGGCGCTGCTAATCCTGTGCTGAATTTCAGAATCAATATTGGCCTTTTCCGAAATCAAACTGCCGAGGTAATTGAATTCCGCCACATATTCCAATAGTTCTTTTCGATTTTTATAGCATTGTTGTAATCTTCCGAGGGAGTGCACATGATTTTAGTTTTGTCGATGTTTAGCTTAAGGCCCAAAGCATCATATGTCCAGGTATATTGTAATTGTTGTACTGTGTTTGCAACTAGAGCGCAGTCATCAGCGTATTGAAGTTCTGTGATGAATTTTGTACGTGTTTTTGCCCTGAGTCTTTTTATGTTGAACAGACCGCCGTCGTATCTGTATCTAATGCCCAATCCTCTTTCCTGCAGTTTGCTGTCCACTATAATGGAGAGCGCTGCCATGAATATGTTGAACAGGAGAGGCGCTAAGACACATCCCTGCTTAACTCCTGTATTTGTTAGGAACGTGTCGCTCAGTGATCAATGATGTGACACTCTTGACTCGTTGTTGTTATGGAGGCTTTTACACACTGTAAGAAATGTGTTGGGTACTCCGAACTTTTCCATAATTGCCCAAAGCGCATATCTGTTCACAGAGTCGAAGGCTTTTGTTAGATCGATGAATGCAACATAAAGTTTAGACTGCTGCTCTTTTACTTTTTCCTGTAGTTGGCGGAAGGAAAATATGGAATCGACGGTGCCGCGGTTAGTACGAAAACCCGTTTGCGATTCTGGAAGGATTTTTTCTATATGTGGGTGCAGGCGATTTCACATAATTTTTGCAATAATTTTTCCGCCGATAGCCAATAGTGAATAGGTACAATAACGTAGTAGTGTAGACAGTACAACAAATTACATTTTTAAGGTATGTTGAACATCTCCTTGGTGTTACATTGTTACCTGTCAGTTTTAATTTAGAAGTAGATGCAGTTTTTCTTAAATTACTTAAAATCGGCTTGTCCAAAATTGTTCAATTTGGCAAGTATATTCAGCATTGACAGGCCTTTAAAAACCTATTTACAGTCTCAGCTGTAAAATTAATAGAGGAGCCAATATTTGGACAGTTTGCATGGGATTTCCTGTTTCCAACGACGATGCACCACCCGGTCTACTAGTCCGATCGAGATATTGTCAAGACTTAAATATAGGCCAACTTGGGTTTATATCAAATTGGGAAAAATCATGTAAAATATAATTCTAGTAAACCAATTTGATGTAGACCCAAGGGAATCGTTCACGTAAACGGTTCTTATAATAAACATTATTAATTAAAACAATTAAAGTCAGATCAGTAGCGTAGCTAGCATTGAAAGGGCCCTGTATCACGAATTTCGCAGGGGGGCCGAACAGAACCGCAGGAGACAGAACCGCGGGAGGGGGGGTGGGGGGTAAATAAAATAAAAATACTTACCGTCTGATCAGAATAGCTTATTATTTATTAATAAGTTTTACTTACAGGAATAAAATAAACATTCTTTCCAACAATAAACATAAATATCAAAACAAGGAACGTATGGTCTTTGGTAAAATTATACCTACAGAAATAAAATAAATATTCGTTCCAACAACCAACAACAAACAAACATAAAAATAAAAACAAGAAAATATTATGAAACTAAAATCAAGAAGGGTAATAATAAGGGTAATAAACAGTTAATTTGTAGCCAGTTAATCGGTAGTAAGTTAAATGGTTAGTCAGAAGGCAGTGAAGACGTTGAAGATGTTCCTGTAAATACTCCTTTCAGCATACTCTTAGCAATTCTTGGCATTTCCCAAAATAGTTCTGATATTTTTATCCACACTGTACACTTTTATTTAATATGTATATTTTCCTAACGGTTGTTTTGCTTAAAAGAGAGAACCTGGTATAAACGATCCTAGCAAACAACCCCCCAGCTAGGTCGCGACAATATTAAATCCCATGAGTTTCTTTAGGGGACCTTTTTTTAAGATTTCTCAATAATCTTTCAAATCGGAATAATTAAAAAAAGCTCGATTTTCGCGGGGAAATTTCTATGTTGGGAAATTCTAAGAAACCATTTATGCAACGTCGGATAGACGACTGATGGCGCCCTCCCATGGCCTATTTTTCGTTTCTTAGCTTTTCATAAGGACTCGTAGAAAACGATTTAAAGTTGAAATTTTGCCAAAATTAAAAAACGCAAATATCTTTGAAACGGTAAATAGCTAAACGACCAGTGAGGCCTCTGCGAATAGAGCTACTGGATCCCTATAATCGCCTTATTTAAACTGTGTTTTGAAAATTTCCAAAAAATTTCCCGGCCAAAATCGAGCTTTTTTTACTTATTCCAACGAAAGATTTTTTAGCGTGGATCGCCGCAGATTGATTAATATTAATAATATATAATAAGGTAAGAAAAAAATAATAAAAACCGATTATTTCATTTTCGGCATTTTTTTTTAAATACAACATAACTTAAAAAGGGCATCAAATTGCATTTAGAATTCTTACATTAACGTCTTCTAACCGTCAGGCGAGAAAAATTTAAAAAGTTTATAAACAAAAAATTCAATATTTTTCAAAGGTTTCTATCCTTACATTAAGAATAAGGGTATATCCAGAAAATCGGCAAACAAAATCTTTTAAATTAAATATCTTGGAAACTATACATTTTCAACACAGTTTAACCCATTAAGGCCCAAATGCAAATTAATAATAAAATACCCAATTTTATTAGAAAAAGTAACTCAGTTGGGTGTAAGTAATAGTTAGAAATATAAAAAAATGGCAATCTGGGCTTTTAGGAATGCAATATGGCGCCGTACTCAAATAAGTACACTGGGCTAATGGGTGTATAAAAATACTACTCCTTTAATACTACAAAACTATATCTATTTAAAGTATTTTTAACAAAATAAGTGAAAATATACTAGTTATTTTTGTTATACCTATACAAATAAAAAACTTAGGTCATAAATAAAATATTTTTAAGTATGATATTTCTCAAAACACTCTCTTTCTACGCAAAGTGTAACAATGCACTTTTTACAACGCCATCTAATACGCAAATGGCACACGCTACATCTAAGCTGTTTCTCAATCTTCTCTGGGAAGTGACCAACATTGTCATATCTCACAGCACCAGGAACTTGACATGGTCGATTAGTTTTACGAGTTTTATTGTTCAAGCGGAGATAATACCGAGCAACATATCTTGTAAAGTCAAGAAGGCTAATTTTTTCTTCCGGCGAGGCACAAATTTGATGTAACTTCCAGGAATTTGTCATGGTTACATTGACCATATGAGTGAATAAACACCACCACCATTTCTTGCCCCTTATGCTTATTCTGTAAGTATTTGTTGCCTGGTCATTCAAGTCAACGCCGCCCATTCCAGCATTATAATTTTGAAAAACCAAAGGTTGTTGGACCGTAGTTATCTCCTTTTTGGCTCGCGACCATCGCTTGACGTAGTTGAGAGGTTCAATAAAATCGTGATTACTAGCCATTGAGCAAACACTATTGTCTTTCCATTTCACAATCAGTAAGTTATTCTCACAGTTAAATCTATAGTCGTATGTGCCCCTTTCCTCTTTGTCCATCATTTTAGAAGACTGAATGTTACAATTCTTCTGCCGATTTTCACGAATAGTGCCTGTAGCACGTATACCTTTAGCTGTCAATTGGTTCATGAGACGAAGAGTGGTAAAAAAATTGTCAAAGTACACTATGTGGTCAGCTGGGTTGTCTAGATGTTCTAGCAATGAAATTACCACATCAGCACCAAGACCAAGTGATTGCCCCTTCTTCTCACTGTTTTTGCCACAATAGGTGTCAAACGCGTAGCAATACCCGGTTGAACTGCACAACATCCAATCCTTGAATCCGAAGCGGACTGGTTTTCCGCGGATAAATTGTTTGGCGGAGTGGTGCCCAAAATATTTCACCATTGCTTCATCCACGCTCAGAGATTTATGAAAAAATCCCCACTGTCTAAAATTTTTGTTCAAAATGTCCATAAGGGGCCGTAACTTGAACATTTTATCATTTTTATTTATTTTATCATTATCTGCAAAATGTAGGTATCTTTTTATTTCTAGAAATCTATTGCGTGAGATAGATCCCGAAACAATTTTGACACCTAAATCTTCATCTAAAGACCAATACATCCTCTGTTGTGGCAATTTGTGATACCCAGAGAGCAACAAAATTCCAATGAAAATTTTCATTTCTTCCATGGTAGCAAAAAAATCATGATTATTTTTCTGTCGAGAGTAAATAATTGATTGCTCTATCATAAGTTGGAACACATTATCGTCAAACAGTTTCTCAAAAATTTGCACTGGATTATAGCCACGTAAACTTTCCTTTACTTTTTCTAAACGATCATTAGCGCCATTTTCTGTGTCACGTGAGAAAACATAAACCGGCTCAATTTTCTCCCATACAGGATTTCTCTCTTCGGCACGAGGACGCTTGCTGACAAATATTGATAATGGCTCGTCGTCACTGTCACTCCATTCGTCTGTATTGCCAAAATTTACTTCAATATATCCGGGCACATCGTTTGGAATATGGCTTTCCATAATATTATCATCATCAAACTCTTCTTGATCGGTGAGAACATCCGGTTCTGGTGGCAGGACTATTACATCAGCCTCGTCTTCGTGACTCTCAATTGCATCCGCAGCTTCTTGCAATGTAGAAAATATTTTTCGACCATAAAAACTTGTGGTCGTTATTGGTTGAAAGTCGTCATCCATTTCTGAAACAAAACGTAGCTTGAAATTAAAAATTCATACTTGAGCCCACTGTACTCATTTGAGTACATCCGTGTTTGGCGCTGATTCACGTTTCAGGAAATGAGGTTATGAATCTATGGCTAATTTTTACCACTTGTTTAATACATATAAAATAGATATTTGGCGTAATTTGTCAATAATTATACAAATAGCCTCCTAAATATATTATATTCACTTTACTTACCAGGTTCAAAATAAGTCATATTTTAAAACTGTAACTAATCTTTTCAAAACACACCAATACCTGTCAACTATCAGTAAACACTGCCCAGAGATTAATAAAATATGGCGCGATAGCTAACAACTTAATATATTGCCCATCAGATGGCAGAGTTTGTCCAAAATAACTGTACTCATTTGAGTACGGCGGGCGTTAATGGGTTAAAGGGGCGAATATAGAGCTCTATCCGTAGAAGCCTCACTGGTCGTTTAGTTACTTACCTTTTCCAAGAGGAAACATCTTATTTTTATTTACACCTTCATTTTTTTGCTGGTACAATTTAATGTAGCAACGAAATGCCAAAATTTTCGAACTGACTTAACCACGCTAAATTTGAACCCCTTAAAAACTATTTAGAATCATAAAAAAAGTTCTAAAAACACTCGGATTTTGGTAGCTCGACCGGACTATACTAGGTAAATACACTAAGTTTATTTACCTGCAGAAAGTATTTGTTCGGTATAAAGATATCCATTCCACGATAAATATTCCCTAATCAAATCATTTATCAACTTGGTCTCGTCTGGAATTTTTGGAGCATCGTGACATTCGGAATTTCGATTCAATACGGTCATAATAGCAGCTCTTATTTCTCCTTTGAATCTCCCCAGGGTGCCATCTTTTTGTAGCGACTCTCTAATAGCTAAAAAATATCTCATATTTGTAAAAGAAAATCAAAAACATCATTTGTGATAACAATCATTTGATTATTTAAAGTTTTCGGTTAATTTACGAGTAATTTTTTATATCTCTTATAACTCGAAAACAAATTCGTCTAAATTTTTATTTTGAATAATTTAGACGACGCTTCATTTTAAAGAATTCTTTAAAAAGTTTGAAATAAGTTTGTCTCTGAAATAAAATGGTAGATTTTATCATCATTTTTAAAAGTTACATGGGTTTTCCAATGTTCATGTAATTAAATCTTAATTATATATGGATATTCAAACATACCTTGTAAAAGATCACCCTCAGTAGCTTCACTCATTGTATATAAAATCTGAATTTAATACTAGTAGCAGACGTGTAAAAATATTTGACACATACTAAGCAGAACAAGGAGCAAACTGTGTTTATATTGACGGTTAACATGGTAACCGAAGAAAACGTATGCACGGTGTTCTGCAAGACTGGTTTCGTTTAATAACAGGTGTTCTTGGGGCATATGCTCCGTAACTCCTTTGAAAAAATGCCAATCAGTTATTCTCTAAAGCTATATATAATAATAATATTTGTAATATTAATATTTAATTATATAATAGTGAAGCATATGGAGATAGACATTAAGACATGAGACTGATTATCATTAATAAAGAAAATATATAAATTCCTTATTAAATAAATCAGTTTAAAAAATAATTTCGAAATTTATAACAATATGATTTTATTAATAAAAGAAATAATTAACTTAATATCTATTTTTTGAACTGTATGTAATTCTACAATCTATACGCCAAAATTCTATTTGTTCTTTTACGTGTTCTATTCCATATCAATTAAATTAATTTACCTTAATAAATTTACGTATTTTATCTATTTTTTTTTAATGTAATTGTCATTGTTTAGGGCTTAATATTTCGATATCGTTGCGAATTACACTTGGTAAAAAAATATTGGATTGGAAGACAAACAAACAATTTATCTGAATAAACATATAGTATATCTAGATCGTCGCAAATCACTACAATAAAGTAGGTATTTTATTCAACAGATGCAGAGCATAAAATAGTAATATAAAGATTGATATGTCAAATTACCCCTTTTTGATCCCAACTCCCAAGTAGCAAAAAAGTACGACAGGGAGACGCGATATCCCCAAAGCTAAAAAGACTAAAAGAATTTCGGACTTCCATTGTCTTAATTTGTTTATTTTTTTATTTTTCGTTATTTATATACCGTTATTTAGTTTAGTTCACTCTTTATAACGGTCAGTGATACTTCTGACCTAAACGTTGTTTAAGCAAAAATAAATGAAAATAAAGACAGTGGAAAGTGGAAGTCTGATATTCTTTTAGTTTTAATACTGAATTATTGTCTACCACATTCAAAGTATCCCCAAAGCTGTTGACACTAGAAGAAACCTTCCGTCAACTGGACTGGACCAACAAAGGATTAAAAATAGATGGAGAATATCTTAATCAATTGCCAACCTTATAATTGCCAATAGTCCTGAAGAACTACAAGCACAAATTAACAAACCAAATACAGCCAGCAATAAAGAGGGTCTCAAAATGAATTTAGCAATGTACAACGAACTAGTGGACAGAAAAGACATTCGAAGAAATAACACAACACTGGAAATAGTAGAAGAATATATATATTGAAGACAACTAATAGACAGCTCGGGATCTCTACTACCAAAAATCAACAGAAGAATTAAGTTAGCATTGAGTATTTATGGAAGAAACTCACTCATATTCAATTCTAGAATCCACTTTATCTAATGAAGGAAATATTCGACCAATGTGTACTACCACCTGTGCATGCGAAACCTGGACGCTTAAAATGGACATTATAAAGACACAGTAGGTTGCACAACGTCCAATGGCATGAAATATGCTGGGAATAACCAAGAGAGACCGTAAAAGAATAGAGTGGATACGACAAAAGACCCAGGTAATAGATGTCATCTTCTTCTTCTTCTTTACGTGCCGTCTCTTTCGAGGAAGTTGGCGATCACATTGGCAAAATCTTCACGATTCTCGGCTTTCCTTATAAGTTCTTCAAAAGTTAGGTGAGTCCAGTTTCTGATGTTTCTCAACCAAGATAGTTTCTTCCTGCCGAGACCTCTCTTTCCTTCAATCTTACCCTTAACTATCAATTGTAAGACGTGGTATTTTTCATTTCTCAATATATGCCCTAAGTATGATGTTTTTCTTATTTTTATTATATTGAGCAATTCTCTCTCTCTGCCTATTCTGTTGTTGACTTCGGTATTTGTGATATGGGCTGTCCATGGAATTTTAAGCATTCTTCGATATATCCATGTTTCGAACGATTCGAGGCGATTCATCTCTTGAACTTTCAGTGTCCATGTTTCTGCTCGGTATAATAGGATTGACCAAACATAACACTTAACGAGCCTAGTTCTCAACTCTAGGTCCAATCTGGGGTTCTGGAAGACGTTCTTCATTTTTAAAAATGCATTTCTCGCTTGTTCTATTCTGGTTTTTATTTCGACGTCGTTGTTCAAGGTGTTAACTATTCAGGACCCCAAATATTTGAACTTGTAGACCAGATGTCATCTACAGAGTAAAATCTCTTAAGTGGCAGTGGTCAGGACACCTGGCAAAAAGGACGGACAACAAATGGAGCAAGAAAATTACTGCATGATACCCACGAGGAATTAAGAGACCTAGAAGAAGACCAAACCTGAGACGGGTCCGTGGTATTAGGAAATTAGATAACTTGGGCCCGGCATAGCCAACTGTAGACTGGGGGAATGGGCCAAACTGCAGAGAGAGTATCCAAATATGCGAGGGAGGCTACACCATAATTGGAAATGGTTGATTAAGCTGAAAATGATGACGATGATGATGATGCTGTCATATTAATTTGCACGACTTTCTTTAAAAAAAGTAACAGCAAAAGTATTTTTGAGTTAAAATGTAACAGTTCCTTTTTGATGTCACGTAAACGGACTCTACATTGTTTACGGGGAAAACTGTGGCCAGATCCTCTCATCTGATAAATACCTTATAATCGAAAAAAAAACGGCGTAAAGTTGGTTTAGAGATGCCAAGTAATAACACCCCCAAAAAAATTATATTAATTTAGAAATTATAGTTTGTAACTGTTTTTCCCAAATTGATATTAACCCCAATCGGTCTAAAATGTAGCCCTGATAATATTATTATCACTTCAGTCTAAAATACGAATTTAACAATAGAGGAGATGGTGCTAATATGGAACCCCATTTTGTTTTTCCGACACAATATTTTTCTTTTATCTATTAACCACAAAAACTATACATGAGGAAATTCGTTGTTTAATGATTCTTGTAATTAGTCAATAAGAAAATTAACACCGCAAGAAAGCTACTTTGAAGAAAGTACCAATTTTAATTGCAATTTTAAAGTGCAATTTTCGCGCGGGAAAAAATTTGCTGATAATATGGACCCCCAGAAATTTATCAGGATTTTTATAAAAATGTAAACATAAACGAAATATATGATTGAAAACAATACACAATGTTTGAAATAGAAAAATATAATTTTTTATTTTCATCAACGTTATCAACATACACCGACAAAAATCGCAATTATCTCATTAAAATCGCAAAAAAAAATAATTTTTCTCGTACAGCTACAATACCATTACTCATAGACTGTTTGTCCCATATTTTCCGATTGGAAATTCTTATTGAAAACTTTTCTTTTGACAATAATTCAGCCCGGGGCATAATGCAATACCAGCAGTAAAGAGGGTTCATATTAACAACAGCGCATGCTATTGAAAATTGTTACTTTATATTTTTAAAGAGATCAACAATGATAATTTTTCTCTAACAAAACATTATGAATAGGTACACTCTATATTAAACTACTAAAACACTCGAAAGTTGCTTACCACTAGATAGGTCAGCATTATTGTATAATATCAAAGATATTTAAACTCGGTATAATATTCTTGGTAAAAAAAATGTAAAAAACTCGCGATCATGGACCGTTTATCGCTAAACTAGCGACACGGCATATACCGGGTGCGTCTCAAAAGTGGCTCAGCCCCTATAAATTTTTTATTTTTTCAGATTAAACAACGAGATTTGGTATGTTAGTATACGACATAAATTAGGATTGATTAACATATTCAATTGTTTTCGGTCACTTCCTGTTTCACCGGAAATGAGTACAACTTTTAAATGGCACCCTCGGTATTTTTTTACTTTATTCGATAGAAAATGACACTCTGAATAGAATGACATATCATATGTCAACTTTTGACATTTTCGCATATGCTTTATTTGAAATTGTAACATGCGGTTCATAACGACAATTTAACTCGAAATACCAAGTGTGTGGTATCAAATTATTCGTAAAAAAATGTTTTTTCCAAATATGCTAATGTTCCATTTGAAAAATTGAGATATAATTAAAAAAACGATTTGGGCATTTTATAACCGGCCAGGACAAGACACTAAAAACATTAGACGATCGAATCTATTTTTCCATGGCACCTTGATTAAAAATTAGTGTTTTTAACACAGCCATGATGGCACTCTAGATTGAAATTTAAAATACAAATTGTTTTTGGGCGAATATGTCAAAAGTAGACATATGATATGTCATTCTATTCAGAGTGTCATTTTCTATCGAATAAAGTAAAAAATACCGAGGGTGCCATTTAAAAGTTAAAAGTTGTACTCATTTCCGGTGAAACCGGAAGTGACCGAAAACAATTGAATACTGCAATCAATCCAAATTTATGTCGTATACTAACATGCCAAATCTCGTTTTTTTATCTAAAAAAATAAAAAAAATATAGGGGTGAGCCAGTTTTGAGACGCAACCGGTATACTAAGCATTTTGCGGCATTTGTAGGTGACTACTAACATAGTTTCAGTTAGTATGTACAGCTGTCATCTGTAGTTTCATAATAAAGAGAGGTTCCATAATATAAGCAGGTTCCATACCTCTATCTCTCCAAATACTTCCCAATATCATAAAAATAGGCACAGAGTCGGCGAAAGGGCCGGGCGACACGGGCGGCCGCCCGCGTCTCCGCATGCGAGGGGCGCACGGTGGGGTATTAGCATGAAAATGGTGATCGAAATTCGAAAAAGCAAATGTGTTTAAGATTTCACAAAAAAAGATAAGCGATAAGTTAAATCATCTCTGCCATGAATGGCGTTGCTATGGGTGTGTTTAGTTGCATTCATTTGTTTCAACGAAACGTCAAAGTTGTTACTTCTCACAGATAAGAGGTAAATGGCTATATTTTATGTTTAAAATTATAAATTGTTGTTGTTCTTGTGCTCTTTTTACGTTTATATTATTATTTTGATTGAAAATGACTCAGCAAGCTGCAGGTATGTATTCTACAAAAACGTATTATTTATTGTGATATTCTCTATACT